GTAGCGTTGATTTGCCATAACGTAAAAAACACGACCTATTAGTTGAGAAGACGAGCTGGAGGAACAAATTAGAGTACCGTACTCTGAGAAATTGGTCAGAGTACCATTTTTTGAGGAGCAGGACATAGTGAATACGGATGTTTTTGGTCGGTTAAACACCATTTGGTCAGGCCAGTAGCCGGGTGGGTGACAACGCTCCCAGCCTCGTCCCTGGCTAGGGAAAGACTTTGATAAGCCTAACAAGCTTACTGTTCCCGAACAATGGGGAACACTGTACGACCTGTTTCAATTCTCTATACAGAAGATGGACTTGGACAAAAACCTTGCATCATAGGTTGGACTTGGCCAACACTTATCATAGGCTGGACTTGTACAAGTCCTTGGTATCAGCTGGACGGACTTGGCTAGGACTGAGGTTCGAGAAAGATAAGACGATATCCACCTTCTTCAATGTCTTCCTATCAACGCCAGCGATCACAATTGAGCCCCCCTTACCCCCGTTTAATGTGTGTGATCCGAATGACCTGACAATTCAGCTGTCTGGGTGGTACCACGCGGGCTAACGACCGTTCAGGAGCGCCACTTACGTTATCTCAGTTACTCAAGACGTTCCATCCATTGCAGACGCAAGGCAAATTCTGACTCAAACCGGATGGTCGATACCAGGGAATCAACACTAGGTAACTATTTAGAAAGAGAAAGTATTTAACACTTACGATATTGCTCGCCCTTTCCCTCAATCATTTAGCCTCGTTAACACCTCGCTAACTAGCCGATGACCTTCCCTTGGAATACAATCTTCATACGCTGCAAACTTATATATAAATATTAAACACTTAAGAGACTTGATGCATCAATGTTGACCTCGATTAAGCTGGATATGGACAGCCCCGTTAATGTCTTGAGCTAATGTTGGTCATCCAAATGTTTTCTATCACTTTCTGACAAAGTTCCTCTATTTAGTCCACTATGCCAGGAGCACAGCGTGAAGATTCTGCAAACTCCAACACATGCAATTACTGTAGGGAACGCCACAGTGAGGCCCAGAGACAGGTGATTTGACCGAACAACGGGACGTCTCGTTCGCTTGGACGCTAAGTGCGGAATGACAATCCACCACCTTGTGTAGCGGAAGGCTCCCACCTCTGTGCTGACGTGTGTAAACCAATCAAATCACCGCTTTCACAGCTGGCCAATGACAGACCGGCTCCCGTGCTCATAAGGACGTCCAGAATATTCTCGAAGCACAGGACGGCGTCTACGTGACGTTACACATAATAGCTGACCTGACCAATAGCCTCGGGCATGTCCCTAGTGTTTATTAGTGACTTCAGACCTCAGACAACTTCTACTTGTTACACCAGAACTCCTCTTGACTTGCTCTGATGGTAACACACACGTGACTCACTACTGACTCTTGTAGAATCTTTCAACGACGACTCACGATGGCTATCTTTGCGTCGCTGAGCTCCTCACATCGTGGGCTATCCAACGATAGCACACACAATGGTCCGTCTTACATGCACAGGAGTGCACAGTAATCTGTGCAATTGAGTTGAATTCCACAACTCTCACACCAATTAATTTTTACCTCTCCTATTACCCCTTCCCCTCTACCTCTCCAGCTGTGCAAAATGTTTATTTCTCATTAACACCTCCGTTACCTTTCTCATCTTTCGTATCTCTGGGTTTTCTCCCTTTTGACTTGTTTTTTTGAGGGGAGGAGGAGGAGGAAGAGGTGGTAAGGCCCTTAGGGAGAGCTGTCACTGGAAGTTCAGACCCGCCGTACTGTATTGTGTCTTCCCTTCTCCTCCTGCTGCTGCTGCTGCTCCTGCTGCTGCTGCTGCTGCTCCTGCTGCTGCTACTGCTACTGCTGCTCTTCCTCTTCCTCCAACTGCTGCTGCTGTTGCAACAGTTCTGTGTTGCTGCTCTTGTCTCTGTTGCTGTTTGTTCCTCGATCTCATGCGTTTGTGGCATTCAGTACGAGTAGAATCCTAACTTTCATGCGTGACAGACATGTATGTATTTAGTTGAAAGTGACTGTATTGCTAACGTTGTTGATTTTGTCGTTCAGGCAGTCAATGCGTCTGACAATGTCCTTTGCATCAGCGTCGACTTGGGTGATTAGGCTACCGAAATTAATAATCATCTGGGTTATAGGGGAATAAAGCACAACAATAATGACTACATGAATGTATCATATGTACGACGTTTCGTTCCTGTTTGGAACATCTTCAGAGTTATGGAGCCAGATTCACGAAGTAGTTACGCAAGCACTTGCGAACCTGTACATCTTTTCTCACTTTGGCGGCTTTGTTTACAATTATTAAACAGTTAATGAGCTCCGAAGCACCAGGAGGCTGTTTATAACAATAACAACAGTTGATTGGCAAGTTTTCATGCTTGTAAACTGTTTAATAAATATAACCAAAGCCGTCAAAGATTGAGAAAAGATGTACAGGTTCGTAAGTACTTGCGTAACTGCTTCGTGAATCTGGCCCATGGTGTTTTGCACGACTGGTGAAGATAAAGCCACGCAATGGGTGGCACGGGCATGAATAACCCGTAAGTGGTATATTTTTTGAAATGTGATATTTTTTTTTTGCATGTATGGTAAGGGAAATATATACTCAGAAGTGACATACAGGTTAAGTGATTCAAGCCACAGAGCTCAGGTGTTGGCGAATGAAGTCATCTTCCATTTGGTGGAAGTCTAAGCCTCAGTAATGAGGCAAAATCGTTGTTTCGTAACATTGTTTGAATATATATAATATGTATATATAAACTGCCAACGATATTACCATGGATAATAAACATTCACATGGGTACTAGCAGACTCGAACCACCGACCCTAAGAGTGAGAGACGGTAGCTCTATCAACTGTACTGTGGAACGCCCTAATAAGGAATGATTTTAGAAGCTACTATTCCCGAACCTGGGAAGGTTTTAAATTCCAATTGGGCAGCAATTACTAGTTTCTGGAATCCTTCCTTATTAAGGCTGTCCATAGCATAGTTGACAGAGCTACTCTCTCCCTCTCCTGGGGTCGGTGATTCGAGTCTCCTAGTACCCATGTGAATGAAATATAAATTACTTTCAATATCTTAAATTCAAAAATAGATTTTTAGTTTATTTTGGTGTAAAACATTAATATAAATATATATTTTGGATTTAATTGCAAAACCACAAACCTTAGAATATTTTATTATCATTGAATTATCTTACAAAAAAATCTGGGCTTTATAAATATTCATAAACCGGGAATAAATTACAGTATGAAGCAAATGAACGTCATTGTTTTAATGCCTAATTAATGTTCAGTTATGTATTCTCATGTATCGCAATACACTGGCAACACATACATGCTATACACATGGTACAAACTTTGTGTAACACATATTACATCATTCTAACTAATTCTAAACATTTTCTAAAACATTTCCTGCTAGCTAACTTAACTATATATATATATATATATATATATATATATATATATATATATATATATATATATATATATATATATACATATACATAAATGTGTTTGTGTGTGTGTGTATATATACACAAAATATTGGGGAAAACAAAAAATACACAAAAACTTTGTTTCTAACCAATTAAATAATAATATAATAAAACAGAGTGGTGCAAAAATATGTACGATGCAGGATTTCATTGGTCTGATATATATACAGGTTTGTGCACCAGACTGTACAACAACAAAATGTACAACTACAACTGTTGTATTGTGAGAAGTGCCCGCACAAGTTAAAAAAAAAAAAAAAAAGTGAAAATTTAGAAAATGAGAGGACGCATTTACCGAGAACGACATAGAAATATGTGAAAACGTCAGAAGATGATACCAGTTTGACAGTTTACCTATATGAGTCAGCTTACCCATCTCTGGCAGTTTACCTATCATCTCTTAAGAGCTCTCGTCTCTCGGGGTAATCTTATTGATGGTTAATGCTTGAGGGATATCGTACGTGCATCGTAAACTTTCATCACTCGAAGCCATCGTTCGAGTTGCTTAATCTATATAAATTATCGAATTGTGGCTCCGTTTGTTCACTATGAACTCTCATCATTCTGTGTAGTTTCAATCTATCGCGTTCTGTATCTTCATTTGAACAAATATCAGAGTTATCGTCCGTTTTGTGTATTTTGAAGATTATCATTCAGTATTTCCCTACCTCCCCGCCCCCCAGAGCTATCGTCTTGTGCATAGATCACGAGAATATATTATTTAACGACTCCCAAGACACTTCTTGGGCAAGAGTTCTTGAAGACCCGAGTCCAGCTTCTCTCTGGTGCTCGAAGCTTACTCAATATGACTTCGCAGATGAAGTTATATTGAGTAAGTATACTCAATACTTAATATTCTGCAGTATTAAGTCCGCGACTTCGCGGACAGTGACTTTGCAGACTGCGACTTCGCGGATAGTGACTTCGCGGACGGAAGTCACTGTACAATCCATTCACGAATATAATTTAGTAATAATATTATACAGTTACATAACGAGAAAATTATAAGTTTAGGATACAAAAAAATGGAGGTCATATATTGGGATCGAACTCTCATCCCTAGAATACCCAAGGCACACGCACAACCAAGTACCCGTGTGTGGACTGGTATTTCGTAAAAACTGGATCGTGATACCGGAAGATACCTTCCAAACTCCAGGGAAATCAAGTTGTGCTTCCAGCTGAAAGATTTATGAGCCCATCATGGTTCAGTCGGTAGTGTGCATGCGCGCCTCAACCCGTCCTCAGATCAAGTCCATTCCATCCAGCAGTCGACCCCAGAGACGTATTCATCAATTTTAACATGCTGTTCATTCAAAATAGGAATTCACTCAAATATAAATTACTATTATAATATATTAGCATATTGTGCATATATAGGCATAGGTTAGGTTAGGTGTTTAGGTTCTGTTGGCGATTATTTGTATTTGTAGTACGTGGGTGAAGCATTTACAGCGTTGTGGTTCGAACAAAGGTCGTCAGTGAAGCACTTGTTCCGGAAGTGTTCGGACGTCATCAGTTGTGAGTAGTGTGTAAACCGTTTTTCATTTATAAACAGCTAGGGGTTTGGCGGATGCATGGAATGGACTTTGGGGTCTTTGTTTTATGAGAACGGGCTGCGGACTCACAGCTTGGGTTCACTGCTCGGAATCTCAGCTTGGGTTCACTGCTCGAAGTCTCAGCTTGAGCCCTCTGCTCGGAGTCTCAGCTTGGGCCCTCTGCTCGGAATCCCAGCTTGGGTTCACAGGTAAAAGTTAGGCGGCACTGTTCTCGTAGGCAGGATTGTCGTAGACTTTGTCAAGGCGATATGAGGCGGTCCTGGGGTTGTATGTGGCCACAGCGGGAGGCGGCTCGTCCTCCCTGGGGGAGGAGAAAGCACCACATGCACACACTTAGCAACATGATCTGCAACAATGTTCATCTTAGATTATTTCAGAAACTCAACAGGTGAATACACAGTGGAACCACGGCTTAGGAATGCCCCTATTTACGATTTGTTTGGGTTACGAGCTCAATTACTTCATAAAATTCGATTCGGTTTACGAACTTTGCCTCGAGTTGCGAGTCGATACACATATGGATCGACTGAGTACGAGGTGATGACTTCTAGGGTGAAGTTTATCATCAACTCGTCCTCCTAAGAGAACATTTTTACGTATACTCTCCAAAAATCGTCGTACTAGAAAATGGAAGAGGCTCGTGGAATTGACATTCTGTCCCGTTTTCTGTTTTGGGTCCTCTGGTAGGTTACGATAAGGGGGCACTCTAGTACGACAGTTTCTTGACGTTGGGAAACCTTAGGAGGACGGGCTGTTATCATAGCACACAGGAACAATAAGATGAATGAAAAGGATCGGGTCAGAGATACAGAGGAATGGGCAAACAAAACATGTGAGAAATACAGTCGATACCAGGAAAAAATTAATTAGATTCCTCTACAGAAGTATGCACTTTGAACTACAATTACAGAAAGCACTTCTAGGTCACTAATCTATTTTATCAAACGACTACAAGAGAAGTAAGTTGACCAGACCACACACTAGAAAGTGAAGGGACGACGACGTTTCGGTCCGTCTTGGACCATTCTCAAGTCGTATGTGATGATGGTACAGGATGGACCAAAACGTCAACTTCTGACGTATGTGGTTTGATCATATCTTCTGCCACGTTATTGTGACGCATCGTCTGCAAATAGATCCCATTCATTCCAAACTCGTGTGTCTAACCTACGATCGAAACAACCCAGCCACCCCCACGTTTATTACATTACCTGGTGCTCGGTTCCATAACTAAATAACCCTATTCCTAGCCAGTCATTGTACATTGTAACCAGATCTTTTCCTCTATTTCTCCTCACGAATCGTGGGTACATTATTACGTGTCCTATTTTACATTATTACGAATTATATTATACATTATTATGCTCTCTTATATGTTACCAAAATCCGACGAAGAACCACAAGAGAATATGAGTAATTAAATGAAGATGACAGACACACAGGAAACTGGAATCGAGACAGAAAAAATAGTGGGAAAGCACTGGAAAAAAATTAAAAAATTCTAAATCTAAGAAAATATTACTTTCCAATAGCGAGGACTTAACGAAGATTCGCTTACTTGCACCTGCCGTGGACGAGGAGGGCCACGAGGGCCACCAGGCACGCACAGAAGAGTGCCAGGAAGACGTAGAAGGCGTCCCATATGGCCTGGGCCACACTCGCCAGCTTCTCCACCTCTGATGGTGAAGAGAATGATCAGTTGTCACCTTCAGTCTCTGCTCGACTCTTCACTATAGTCCCCCCACCAATCTGCCTTCTCTATTTTCACGCGTTTTCTCTCTCTCACACACACACACACACACACACACACACACACACGAGTTAAACAGCTGTCACGGGCTGCTTCCTCTGTGTGTGTGTGTGTGTGTGTGTGTGTGTGTGTGTGTGTGTGTGTGTGTGTGTGTGTGTGTGTGTGTGTGTGTGTGTGTGTGTGTGTGTGTGTGTCATTTAAATTTATGACCAAGAGACCCAACCAAGGAACAGAAAGGGACCAAGCAGAGGACCCTTGAACTTTACCTTTAACCAAGCGACAAAAATAAGTACATCATCAATCCCTCCATTCCCTTCCTCCCCCCTCACCTGTTCCACCCCCCTTCCCCCCCCCCCACCTATCCCCATCTCCCCCCTCTCCTGTTCCTTCATGGTCCACACTCACCTACTGACCCATTCGGGTACACCCTCACTTATTGATGAGTGACAGTGTACAACTAGTGGGCCTGGTCGACTAGTGGGCCTGGTCGACTAATGGGCCTGGTCGACCAGTGACTGTGGACGACTAAATGGCTATGGTACAATGAGTGACCTCAGACGAGGTCAATCATTGACTTGGACCACAAGTGAACCTTAACTTACGCGCTCCAGTTTCCGACAGGTTAGTGCTTGTGTTGTTGGTAACGAGGCTGCCGGCAGTGCTAGTGCCGTTGTTGGTACCGTTGGCAATTACGTTGGTGGATTCGTTAGTAGCTACTGTTGTGGCGTTGAGCAGAGATTCTTCTGTTGTGGCGTTGACCAGAGGTGCTTCCGTTGTCGCGTTGAACGGAAATTCTTCCGTTGTGGCGTTGACCAGAGGTGCTCCCGTTGTGGCGTTGACCAGAGGTGCTCCCGTTGTAGCGTTGTGTAGATACTCTGCCGTTGTAGCGTTCACCGTTATCTAAAAAAAATAACGAGAAAAATGCATTAATGTTGATAGACTTAGTAAATTGGCCAACAGTGATTTTAGCTCGTTTATGTTTACTAATGTTTTAAATAATGCAAAAATTGGTTGTAGAAGTATAATAACTTTGTGGCGATTTAGAAACTAGTTGTAAAAGTTAGCTAATATTGTAGTGATCTAAAAATTAGCTGCAAGATCTTAAGTTATTTTCGCGTTGTCTTGAGGAAAAAACCTCTTGGCAATGACAATTCTAGTTAGGGAAAACTACATACATACAAAATGAGTTATAAGCATTGATTGATTGGTGAAGATTAAGCCACCCAAGAGGTAGGTAGCATGGGCATGAATAGCCCGTAAGAGTCAGAGGCAGAATGTTGGATTTTAAGATAGAGCTAGTATATACTGTGCTTAAAGCCACTAGTACGCAGAGCGTATTGGGCAAGAAACTAATAATTATTTACACTACACAGAGAAATCACAATAGAGTGATGTATTAAATGAACACATTCACAAGGGCCGTGATGAGGGATTCGAACCTACACACGGGATGTACCCAGGTGCGCCTTAGTCAACTCTATCACGACATGGTCAAAAGAATTGCAACCTGGAGTGCTACTGCCCTCATTATTATTTTGCAATTTTTGCAATATCCAGATTGCAGTTCTTTTTACCATGTCGTGGTGCAGTCGGCTAGAGCATGTGCCTGGGAACACCCAGTACATAGGTTCGATCCCCTATCACGGCTCCTGTTGGAGTTGTTCTTAATTCTTAGCTTAGGTAACCGAGTCTCTCAGACTTTGATGCGAGAAGTTAAGTCACTTATTTATTCCATGTGAGATCATATCTTCTTCAATAATGAATTGACTGTGAGCAGTTTATTTCCTACGAAAAGTTAGCTGGTTATATAATGAGCTTATTAGAAGCTAGTTGGCTTTGTATTAATTTTTGAGAATATATCTGGATTTGTAATTATTTACAGAAAGCTTGCTCTCTCTAACGTGGGGTATTTTTTTTTTTTGTCAGGGATATTCCTGCGCGGGCCCTAAGCCTCTGGCTGGCCCACTAAGTGTTGCTTGTTTCTGTTTTACTTGGGCGGAGTATGAGTATTTATGACTCGTATGGTCGCTTCAGTAAGATTACCCCCCATGTGTTTAACAACTTCTGCTCTGTTGAATCTAAGTTGAAATCTTAATGGGTTTGTAACTGTGCACTGTGTTAGACAATGTTCCAGTGGTCTGTCGGGCATTTCTCCACAGTGCTGACATTTCCTCTCATCTTCCGGAACCTGTAAGCCTATTGCCCATGCACATGGGTATCCAAGCCTGATGCGATGTAACTGTACTTATGTTGTTCTGTTCTACTGCTCCCTTTCATCAATGTAAGTGGTTCATTGTTGGTTGAATTCTGGTACCAACCCGCAGATCCTGATGTTGCGGAATGGTACAACATCCTCTATTTCTATGATCCTCTATTTCTAATTACTTGCTTAATCTGCGATAGACTCTGTGGTATGTAAACAAGGGCAAGATATAGGCTTGAAGAATTGACGTATTTGATGGAACTGACCTGAGTTGTGGTGTTGTCTGGAGGCTGGGTGGCAGGGTGGACAGGAGTGGGCGGGGGCGGCAGGACAGGAGTGGGCGGGGGCGGCAGGACGCCCATAATCTGAAGGACGCTGACCGCCCACACACCAGTAGTGTTGCTCCTCACCGCCAATCTGACCTGCAACAAAAGTGTTGCGAAGGTCAGAGTAAAATCTGAGGGGGTAAATAACAGTAATTTTCTATCCTTTAGAGACATAAACAGTTAGGGAAAAAAACATTTACTACCCCAGGGACAAAAAATGGTTTCAGTGGTGTAAGAAGCCTCGCAAATTTTGATTTTCCTGTTTTTTAAGATTCTACTTTACAATTACATATGAAAATTATATTTGAGGGTGGGGAGGTAGTGTTTATGTAGGCAACAACTAATAGGTTAGGTTATGTAGGCAATAGGTCTACAGTTCTAGAAAGTTAAATACACTTCTTATAGAAAACATGCTATCAAACGCCTTCAAAATTTTACCTCTGCTTTTAGTCTGGTTCTTGATATATCCGAGATCCAAATATTGTCTAAGGAAATAGTTTTTTTGAAGTTCGTAACTATCTATATGTTAGATTCTAATTCTATTGTTAAATAATCTCAGCATTCAAGACCCAAGCTTAGCCAGATTTCCCCCTTATATTAAATACTGTAGATTCATACAATACCGAGTAAAGCTCAAATAAAAATAAAACAATTATAATAAAGTATTTATAAAATTACATAATTAAAAAACAATTTTATACTTACCATAAAGTTGCTAAACACAATGCACTTAGCCTATGCACAATGATATACGTTTAGCCACATTGCTAAACGCAATGCACATAGTTTATAGCTAAATATAACTTGTTTAATAAAATACGGAAACACCAATGGTCAGCGGACGACTCACCTTAAACTTGCCATCACCAGTGAAGTTGTGAAGTCTGAAGATTTGAGTAACCCACGTGTTGTTCTGCTCCAGCAGGTCGTCTGGGAAGGCGTAGTTGAAGATCTTCTGCGTCTTGTTCCCTGCTCCCAGCACCTCACCTGCGACAGAGAGGAGACCGAGCTCGTTGAAGCAGAGCATACATTCACACACCCCAGCTGGTGGAAACAAGCCAGATGGTGTTCTACACCAACCATCTGGCTAGTGTACGCGTGTCAGCTAGTGCGTCACACCCCCAGCTGGCGGCTAGAGGATACTTGTCAGCTAGTGATAATGAATAACTTGTAAAGGAGGCATTAACGAGCATGGGAATGGTCGAACTTTACATAGCGTTACGGACCTTCGGATCTGAGTCACACGTTTTGGTGATAACTAAAGGCTTAGGAAGTAGAGTTTGAGCAGGACCGACGACGAGGGAGAGGGGGGGGCGGATTGACAAGGGGGGAGGGGGGGGCGGATTAACAAGGGGGGAGGGGGGGGCGGATTGACGAGGGAAGGGGGGCCGGATTAACAAGCCGGCAGCGGGCCAGACCAAAGAGGAGGATTAGGGCCGTTGGCTCTATTTTCTACATTTGCTACAACGTCAAAAATGCAGCCGTTTTGCCTCACCAGAAACGTACAAGCCCAAACAACCCACCTCACCTAACGATGAGCCGAAAAACGTAAATATCACGGAGCTTCAATTCTTACTCACACGTCGCAGACTTAACGGATTGGTCGAATACGTAATGAATGTGACGAGAGACCCGACAGACACTCATCTGTCAATTGTTTATTATTTAATTGTATACATGTCTTCATTACAAACCCCTCTATCCTATCTCTCACGATTTTCTCTCACCCTCACACTCTCTCTGCACCCTCACACTCCTCTCTCTCTCTCTCTCTCTCTCTGCACCCTCACACTCCTCTCCCTCTCCCCGCCTCACTACTCACCAACCATGCTCAGGTCCCTGTTAGAGGAGGCGACGTAGTAGGTGAGGAGGAAGGACACATTCTCCATGGCCTGGAACTCCTTATCCAGGAGGCTGGTGAACGCCGCCGTCTGACAAGGAGGGAAAGAGATACATAAACAAGAACCATGTGTACTCACGTGTGTGTGTGTGTATGTATACATGTGTAAATACTGTGTGTGGGCGAGTATGTATACATGTGTAAATACAAGCACATGTACAGTATTTACCTACTTTTCAAAGCAGTAAAGAACTGTTATAGACCTTTTTATTAAAAAATAAAAAAAAAATTGTATCCTCACCAGATTCTACACACATTATGTATATCACCAACATATATATATATATATATATATATATATATATATATATATATATATATATATATATATATATATAATTACTTTAAAGCATTCAATATCAAAACCTGAAGACTAATTAGGCTCTTATTAAAAAAAAAACTTCCAGTGAATGCGTTAAGAAAAAGCCTGGCATGTTAAAGGTTAATTTCCATCAATACTAAAGCAGAGAGGTTTAACAAATATTGAATAGCTGTAAAAATTGGAGTTGAGCTCCAGCTCTGACGCCCATAGCCACCCAGTACCTCCAGCCTGTGTACCGCACCATCCGGCAATACCCTATAAATACCCCTACACATCATCATCTCGGTTACGGGCTATTCACGCCCATGTCATCTCTTGGGTGGCTTAATCTTCATCAATCAATCAATCATCTCGAAATCAGCAACCTTAAACACCCTCTGAAGGACGTCAATCGCATGAGAATAACAGAAAAGCCTCACAGACAACACACACACGGGTAACTCCACTAAATAACTCATTCTCAACTATAGTATAAAACTACCGTAACTCATTCTCAACTAACTATGGTATAAAACTACCGAGGCTACCAGTTCCCCACCCCAACACATTTTACAAAACGTGAAGAAGAAAATCGCTAACGACGCCTGTACTGTAATCATCAATGAGCCCAATTCCGGCCTGCCATTCCCCCATATACAGAAGACCGCCTCACAGGGATGTACCTTTCACTCCACACATAGCGATAACGAAGCGCCACTTAGTCTGAATCCACAATCTTCTGCGAGACGGGGAACACTGGGTGACACTCTACACCCTGGACAAAGTACCAAACCAAGATAACACTCGATAACACATCATTAGGCAATCTAAACGGCGCATCACGCAACAAAATCTAAGTAAACACCTTTCCAACATCCGAAATCGTCACAGATCCTGCACCCGACGGCATGGTTAGTGCCTTATCATCAAAATGATACGTAAAGAATTTGAAAATCTTCGTATCCAGACACACACAGCACCGCTCCTGTGCCAGGTAAGTCCACTACGGATCACCATAGCCCGTGCTACTTGGAATTTGTTCCGAGTAGCTGAATCTATAACATCATCATCATCCTTGTATCCTTGAATTTCGCAACAATTGTCACAGCTCGCAATTTCATACCAATGAGATCACAGAGACTGACATGCAGCATCAAAACGCCATGGACAATAACGTAGTCAGCAGGGCCCAGGAGCTGCAATCCTGCCGATGCAGGCTGGTGAAAGGGCGCCAACACACCACTCATTGCTGCCACACCACGCACACACCCTCCCAGATCTGAGCAAGGTGGCAGCGCCTCCCTCATTTCAAAAACAGACGAGCTCAACAAGTTGTAGGGGAACTAGGCAAATACACCCCACGACTGTCAGCAAGCTTCTCCCAGCTTAAGCTAAAGTCTGGCGTCCAAGTAATGTGTACTTCATTCATTGTGATGTACTGCCGGGAATCTTAGCGAAGTAACCAAAATTTGCTCACTGTAATACATGCACATGACTGTAAAGCTGCCGCTCAATTAGGTGGGTGTAGAGCAAGAATATGTTGTCGTTTTAGGTTCAGCTACTGGGAACAAAAAGTTCCAAGTAGCACGGGCTATGGTGAGCCCGTAGTGGACTTACCTAGCACAGGAACGGGGCTGTAACTGCCCCCCCCCCTGGTAGTGTTCATGACGACTCTGTGTGTATACTGCATAACGCGGCCAGGTAATACACTAAACTCACGCTGTATTCACCTTCAGCATTGTATTGTTACTGTACCTAAATCGCTGTCAACAAGCCACCCAACAATCTATGCCGAACTATATATAAATGTATACATACTCTGACGCTGCTGGTTCATCTCATCTGACGTCATGTCTGGTAAATGAACGAGGAAATGTTCCCAAGCTTGAGAACACAGATTACCATGATTGGTAATAACCCTTATAATGAGTACACTACAATGCCCCTAAAAAAAAAAGTGGAGAACCTAAAATTAGTGAACGCTGCATCCGGCATGTCTCATGTTTGCCCTAGATCCATCAGGCCAGCAGTAACAGCAACGGGAACACCTGTTTGACACCTGTGACTCACCTCCTGACCTGTATTCCACCCTAATAAAACACACCCCTTCCTTTCCCACCCCATCCCCTGCCACCCTACCTACTACGAACGTTTATAATTGTCAATCTTTCTATTTGGTCCACTTCCTCCCATCCCACTCCCCCGCCTCAGTTGCTGTACCTCTTCACACCCCCTTCCCCTTTCCCTCTCTCTCCCTACACACTTAAACCAGCACGACGAAGCCTCACATCAAAGGAAAAGTAGCATGAGCTGTACTTGAGGCTATCGCCTGTTGGTCTCACGATCCGGCCTCATCCCTCAGTCATTGTACTCTCCAACAGTACTCAGCGCACTCCAAGGCTTTATGATGAGCCTTTGTACGTTGTAATATCTTAAAAGTGTCTTTCCTGCTAACACTTAAATAGCATAAAGTTATTTCTTCTGGCTATTCTCATCAATAGGATGGATCATCTTAATTGGATAGATGCTTCATTAGACTGTTGACCTGTTTCGAAGTTGTTGTTTTTATACCCACTCCTGATCAACATGAGCCTTGCAGCAAGGGATCTGATAAATGTAATCCGTTATGGATAAAATGTAATTCCTCACAAATAAACAGCTGTGATATATATGAATTAAGGTCTTTAAGGCAATATAATTCCCTTAAGTAATAGTACCCTAAATAAAAAAAGCATCCTTTAGTACTCTTGTTCCCTAAATTAAAGCTGTGTTTTAAAATAATACAATACTGATTTAGCAAGAGCTCGTAAAAACGTTCAACAAAATAATTTTCGGAAAGTAAGGTTGTTTCCATTTCTACAGGATTATAGCAATTAGTTGACAGATATTCTATAGTTTTTTTATGAACATAAATATAAGTCGCTCAATTGTTACACAGATTCTTAAGGAACTGTTGCATTTATACATTGTTTGAATGATGATATTGCATATTGTCACCAGGCTAGGCTACTTAAAAGTGGCGGCCGACCCCCCCCCCAAAAAAAAAAAACGACGCATTCATAAATTCTAACATACTGTGTATTATAAATTAGGTTTGTTCTTGTTAATATATTAATATTATTATATATTAAAGTTCTATGTATTGTTAGGCATGAGTTAGGTTACGTGTTTTGTGTAAAACGTTTTTCATTCATGAACACCATGAGGTTTGGCGGGTGCATGGAATGGACTTTAGATCTTTGTTTGGAGGACGTAGCTGGCATTTCTAATATTTACAGAGTTGTGATTTGAACAGAGGTCGTCAGCGAAGCACTGTTCAAGAAATGTTCAAACGCGAACACTTTGGAAGAGAAGAGTGGGAGTGTCAAGTTAGATTCTTAATGGGTGACGCGTATTTTCTCTCCTGTTATATGAGGATGTAAATATAAATGTAAAATAAATATAAATGTAATAATTTCCCCTGTAAATTAATGTAAATATAATCTCTAAAATTGTAAATCATTTAAAGAAAAATAAGTATAACATTTAGGGGTTTAAAGTTCATGCTTTGTGATAATATGAAACATTTGTTTAATAAGAATTATAATACTGTATATGTAATGTATTATTGCCGTGTAAAATTTATGTATATATGATTTATATTGTATTTTATTAAATAAAGAAAAAAAATGTTAGGCTGTTGAGACACGGGCACATGAAGATTAAACATTTATGAAGTAATAATGCTAAGGACCGTAATTAAGCAGTTTGTGTTGAGTGGCTCAGAATTGCCCCGTCAGGTCTTCAAAACATTAATGTTATTACCTTTTTTGTGGGATAATGCGTTATAAATAATATAAGCGAGATGGTACGTAATATATAATAATAGTTGAGTACTGAATCGAGTATCATGCAGTAGTTCCGGGATTCGGGCTGGCATGAATCTAGGTCATCGATCGTGGGAATGGAACAATGCGATAGGACCATCAACATTGAACTAGATAGTATAGTCACTCAACATTCTTTGTGAATGATTTCCCTCAGCCGAAACAAAGAAACACCATTCTTACCCTAATTCCCCGGTGACAATATTTACTTAACAGTAACCCGTGAGTGTGAACAAACACACGTTATTGTTAACAACCCGAATGTAGAGCTCTCACTAATAACAATATGAGAAAGGAAGTGGAGAATTGCCACTAAATTTTTACAAGACTGAAATAAACACGATAGGCTGCCTTTCCTGTACGATGGAAAACGAAGAAGCAAACACCAATAGCTAACTCAAACACGATGCTATTCTACGAAAGCTCTACACTACTAAATTCCACAAAAGATGTTAGCGAGAAAACAGCTATAGCCAAAAGCAGCATTACAAGAAAATACAGATTCAGGCTAGCATCAATACTCCACCACCCTCAGCCATACCAACGGGAGCCAGTACCCAGAGCAACGGCAGCCTGTACCCAGACCAAACGGGAGCCTGTACCCAGACCAACGGGAGCCTGTACCCAGACCAACGGGAGCCTGTACCCAGACCAACGGCAGCCTGTACCCAGACCAACGGGAGCCTGTACCCAGACCAACGGCAGCCTGTACCCAGACCAACGGCAGCCTGTACCCAAACCAACGGCAGCCTGTACCCAGACCAACGGCAGCCTGTACCCAGACCAACGGGAGCCTGTACCCAGACCAACGGGAGCCTGTACCCAGACCAACGGCAGCCTGTACCCAGACCAACGGCAGCCTGTACCCAGACCAACAGGAGCCTCCTCAACGCCCAGTCCTTATCAGCATCCCGGGGCTGAAATACTGACTCTCAGTTAGCTCACTAACTATGAGTCTGAAATACAGACTCATAATGGACTAAACTCTACCTTACCACTCAGCGACTGATTGATACAGATTAAGCCACCCAAAATAGCACTATGCCATCAACCTCTTCCTAAATAACATGAGTTTTCCGTCTGCCCCTGACAGCCCTCCCACCTATCACAATCGTTTCTAAACTCTTATAGTTATAAAACCTATCAGCACATCGGATCAGTTAACTAACTGAACCTCAACTGAGCGCTGTTGCTGTTATCGCTAGTATAACGATAACAGCAGGCCCAAGCCATAAGGGCAAGCCATGAACAGCTTGAGATGAAAAGCACTGAAGATCTTTCTTGCCGGCTGGCTGTGAGCAAAATCTTTTTGCTCACATTTACAGACTGACGAACAATTAATTTCTAAACAAAAGCATCTCAAGTCGTTGTAAACACGGAATCTTCTTGTAAACAAGGGGAATGTTGTTGACAAAGGTGTGAGGAGCAAAGCCTCGTATTTGTGTTTTCCATTATAAGAAGGTGTTGATGATAAAAAGCTTGAATATCCTGGGTTTACCTACGTGTATGTTGGTACGTGTTAATGTGTATTAATACACTCTGGCTGACTGTCCCCCGACACAATGAATTCTTAACTATATAATTTTGAATCGTAATTGTGTTTATTGCCCCTGATGAGTTATAATTAATTCATTGTCGAGGGACAGGAAGCCAGTGTATACATACAGTACATGTTAGGCTTATATCGAGAGCCCCCCCTTCCCCAGGGTCGATATCCCAGGCATTCTATGCAACCCAGGCATTCAACATCCCAGACATTCTCTGAAACACAGGCATTCTCTGCAATGGTTGCCTTACCTGACAAATAAAGACCCCCTGGTCTGAGTCCTCGGGCACACGAGGAATGGGCGGAGGATGCATCTGTGCCAGGTCGTACTTGGCCCACGACCCCATGAAGTTCCACCCGTTGACCCCGACCACGAAGTCCGTCGTGTCGTTGTAACTTCTGTTGGCGGGAGTCTCCGTGTTCTGTACGGCGTCTTGCGAAGTCTCTTCGTGAGGGGGATTCTGGGAGTCGACTCTGAGGCGCGGATCGCGGGTGTCATTAATTGTGTTATTTTCCACAGCACCGGGAACGTCAGGGCTGTCGCTGGCCTTTTCTTTACCAAGGGAGAAGCTGATGCACAGGAAGGTAGAGAAAATAAAGACGGCTGGCACCCACCTGTACGACGCCATGGTGTTTAGCGCTAATGTGTTCTTTCACCTTTTTCTCTGTGGTAGAATTTGATACCTTAAATTATATATATCCTGGAGGTTTTGGGGGGTATCTTTTATTAGTTTTACCTTAATACTTCCCCTAAAATTCCAGTATAACCAACAAGGCCACGAGCATTGCATCCCCCCAAAAAATACAAAACATATTTGAACGAAAAGAAAAGCCTATGGCAGGAGGATAACGGTGTAATCTGGATACGCAATTGAGTCGACAAGATGTGAGACAGTTCTAGACCCAGACACAATTCAAGATGTTACACGACCAAAGACCAACATTCACTCCAAACATCTATACCACCTACGGGTTATTCATGCCCGTGCCACCCCTTGTGGTGACTTAATCTCTATCAATCAATCAATCAGCGTAAAGATCTCGATCTCTCGCGCCCGTAGTTACAGGTGAGCACTGGAAGTAGACCAATAGGCCTTAACCACTCTACAATAAGGTATTCTCATCATGATGATACACACCGAGAGGTGTACTTTGTTTCTCGGTGTATATACAATGAGTTTACCTTGGCTGTAGACTATGTACAAAGTATACGTACTGGTTGGTCAGTAAGCACTTCTGGTTCCCTTAATAATCCTCCACAGGTTGATAAACATTAACCTCAACACTATACCAGTATTTTCACAATTCGGGTTATTATATGAAATGAATTGCAAGAACCTCGAGGATTTGAAAGTTGCAAGTCTCGAAAATAAGGGAATTGCAAGGGCCTTAGGGCTAAGGGATTAAATAATGCCACGTTCCACAACCGTCACAATTCAGAACACTAAACATCTCTCCACTATAAAACAAAGCAATACTCAGTGAGGTTACGAGTTTTAAACGTGTTTTCAAATTACGTAAAACGGAATTAAAACATATATAACAAAGATAATTTAAATATCCTCTGTTAAAAAAAAGCTTAAGAAGCGCATAATTGTCCAGTAAATCTTGTAACAGTTCTGTTATTTATTGGTCTTGTTAGAATTTCATAGCTTACTGTGAAGAAGCTCTGAAATCTGCAGCCTATTCGATTCGTGGAATTTTTCCGTTCTGATTCGTAAATATTAGGTAAGTATGAGTGTCTTTACAGTGATTTCTTTCTTTTTTGACTGTAGAAGCTCATTTATTCTACATTCCAATGGCATTCGCCCCTTGTCCAACAGCATCTTTTGCAACTTTTATCATGCACGAGCACTACAGGACTTTCCGAAGTATGAATAAATTGTTTACAATAACATTTGCACAAGATTCACTGTTAATATCTCTAAAGTCATACAGCCTATGATGGCACAGTTTCTTGTTAGAGGGACGTGGAGGGGGTGGCACTTGACTGTGGAGTGAGTGCCGGATGACTGGAGCTCTGATGGTGCAGGGGGGGCCAAGGTGCCCTCCATTCTCCCCGGCACCCCCATAAAATATTCCCCCCCTCACCCCCCTTTCCCTTCCTCCATAATCCCCCCTCCCTCAATATTAATTCCGCATTCGCCTTACCCACTGCCGGGTCCAAGACCTCCACCGGTTCCCCAGATACACACTTCTATCCAAGAAACTCTCCCACTGTCCCCAAGACCTACCTTCCTTCCCCACCAAGATGCCTTTTCCCCTTCCTCCGTGGTTCCCCCACACCCCCAATCACCCTGGATCCCTGCACAACTGCCATCACCTTATTATATATTTGTTACCGAAACTCTGCTTTAAAATCTATAGATAACCTCTACAGAAGTTAATAACGCCTCCGTCAACCTCAGAAAAACAAAGAATCAAAAGTTTCTAACACACGGAATTAATCTTAAGCAAATGTCATAAACGGGTCAAACTCTAAACACCAAGAACACTTGCATCAGCACGAGTCGAATATTCACCCCCCCCCCCCCACCTGCACACAGGTGTGTCGACCACCTGCTGGAGCAGGTAAGTGGGCTGGCGTAGGTACACGCAGTATCTGCTGCTGCTGCTGCTACTCCCCTTAATGCGTGACCTTACTTACGCTTATATATATATATACTTTGTGTGTGTATATCACGAAAATAAACACGTGATTAAGAATGTGACAATGTCAGACCACGGAGGAAAATGAAACAGGAATTTCCTTAAGTACTTTCGTATATTAAATACATCTTCAGAAGGAATATATATACTTTCTGCCGAAGTTTCAGATTTACGGGTTACTCATGCCCGTGCCACCTCTTGGGTGGCTTAATCTTTATCAATTATCAATCAATCTAGTTTCAGATCTTTTTGGTGGCAGCGTTCGGTCCCGTTCTCTTGATACGCCGTTCCGTAAACCAAAAATCGACTCTTCTAACCTAACAGAAACGTACGAATCCAAGCCTAATTAACCTATCAAAGCCGGAGATATATTACAGTGTTCTAATATTTACTAATGCGTCGGTTTTGCACCAGATTGGGTAACGTATTAGATGCGAGGACGGGCCGTAATTCTCCCATGTGCTTCACAGCTTGTATTACTTGATTTATTCAGTTATTATATATTGCTAGTCTGGTCTTGTCTTGTCTTGTGTTTGCTTAGGAAGTTCTCGACTTTGTTTTATTTTGTGTTTTTAAGGCGGGTTTCGGCTCTGTTTTATCTTGAAGGATATTATGGATGTGTGTTTGTTCTGTTGGCTCTTCTGTCATGCGGTTTATTTTATAACGTTACTTCAACTAAGAACGTAGCTTTAAATATTGTGCGATACTGATCTCAAGGATCTCCAGAGGGAAGATCCCCAAAGGGGGGAGATAGATCCCCAGTGGGAAAATAGATCTCCACAGGAGGAATAGACACATGCCAGTAAGATGTTTCTCCATTACGATGCTGTGCCTCTGACTTAAGACTGGTTTCCGGAAATCTTAATGATTCTTGTAAAGCTGAATGTCTTTCTTTTTTTCCTATCAGTTAATCTTTTTTGGATTGTTTTGTGGCACTAAGATAGCCGCTTGTGACGCCAAAGGATATTTCATTGAAGTCTCCAATGCAGGCACGTCTCTCCCAAACCAACCTGTCGTCTTACAAAATACGTATTTCGATCGTATGCGTTACTCAAGGCCAAAACTTGTACTAGGAAATTGAAGCGGCTCGCGAAAGTCGCGTTTCTGTTTTGGGTCCTCTAGTAGATTCGGATAAAGGCACTTTAAATTGACCGTTTTCTTGACCTTGGGAAGCCTGAGGAGAACAGGCTGCCCATGCTAGTACAGCTCTGCCATGAGGGTACATCTCTCATATGCAGGTACAGCTATCACATGGGGGAGTTTTCGCTCAGACCGTCCAGGGCCGATGTTTAATATTACCTTCACCAAAGGCCACTACGCCACCATCTCTGCCTCCCTCACCATCCCTTGCAGTCCACTACAGACTGTTCTCCAACACCACTTCAGGCCTTTCCACACCACCACAGCCCCTTCCATTCCATCACCACGAGTCGGGTGGGAAACAGTAAGGCGATTTGAAAACGACATTGCAACCAAAGCTAAGGACCAGCCATAATATTAAGAGAAACAAAGATACCACGTGATAGGTTGTGAGGAATTCTATGCGTAAAACGACAAGATGGTGTGCGAGGATCTAGACATGATATTTCAAGAGGTTTAAAAAAAAAATAACATTAATACTAAGACCAAGGTGACGAGACGAAAGATAACCTTAAGAAGCACTAGAGATAGCATGATAATTAAAGTAAACGAAATGGAAAAAACACCACGAGGAAACAATGCATTATTTCATTATAACCAGATTTATCACCATAGCTCCTTAAAAAAAAAAGGTGTTGTCTCCCGCTAACTAAACTTTTCAATAAAACACCCGAGAGAAGAAATTTAGCAAAATTCGTGAAAAAGGCTTAGCCCCAATATCTTAAAAAGGTAACAGACAAGAGACATTGTATTATAGACCAGTATCACAAATAAGTATCAGGTTGAGAGTAATGGAGCACCTGGAAAGGAAAACAATTTTGAAATGTATGAGAAAACAAGGATTGAAAGGAGAAAATTCGTGGCTGACCAACTTGCTCGAGTTCTATACTAAAATATGACAGGGTGGGGGGGGGGGGGGGGGAACTATAAAGGTTCTGTAGAGCGTATCTTCCAAGATTGTCAAAACGTGTTTGACAGTGTTCCCTGTGTACACAAGTTATGCATGCTAATGGCTCTGCAAGAACGTACCACTTAACCACCGCCAAATCCACTTTCACAACCCATAATACTTCTTGAGTTGTATAAATAAACAAATGAATCAAAATGACAAAAAAAAAAAAGTTGCGCCTCACTTTCCCGTCCTCGCTGTTAGCAAAGTACCACAAACTACTACATCACCTTGACCCAATAACCCACCACCACCACCAGCAGTGAGGCCGCCCAAATGGTACTGTGACTAGCATTATTGACGAGAATGCGGGCGTCCTACCGTACAAGCCTCTCTCTCTCTCTGCCAACTTTAATTCATTTCATATATTTATATCTAATCCCCATATTCCAGTTTTGGTCTAACAAAAGTCGTGAACAGTTTCTTTAGCATTTCACCATCCATGTATTTAAAAGCAATTCTGAAATTGTTAAGTGTATCATAGGCTACACTTGTAGCCATAGCTACAAGTAGCCTATGGCTATACATCAGTGGTTCATACATCAATGAACGAGATTCTACAAGGGGCTTACAAGCAAGAAAATTCAACCCGTTCTCGCAAATTTAATAAGTCAATATTGACTTATTAGTTGCATACATAGGTGACATACTAAACATAATAGTTTCCCTTGAAAAGCTTCATAGAAAACACCGACCTTACCTAACCTACTTAATATGTTAAAATAAGCATCTTATAGCTCCGTAATTACAACTGTTACTTAACCTATTATAGGTATAGGTTAGGTAATAATTGTAATTACGAAGCAATAAGATGCTTATCTTAACATACTAAGTAGGTTAGGTAAGGTCGGTGTTTTCTATGAAGCTTTTCAAGGGAAACTATTATGTTAAGTATGTCACCTATGCACATATTTAATAAATCAATATTGACTTATTAAATTTGCGAGAACGGATTGGAAAATTAGGAGGAAGATGAGAACCGGAGTCAACAATCGATAAGTGAGAACCCAGTTCATTTGCGGCCAACACCAGATCCACTACATCAGAACCTCTGAGGTGAAGGACAGGTGAAATATCCGAAACAAACTTACCTGTTATCGTGTCGATTTTCTTCTAGATTTGAGGGAGAGGGATGTTAACTGTAAGGGCAGAGACTTAAGCACTCTAGTTCTCACTCTGTGCTGTACGGATGGCCCTGCACTTGCCTTCCAGAGCAAAATAAAAGAGTTGGGTATGTGTCTGCGCTGGTGTCTTTTTCTAGTCTGCATGCTTACAGCGGACAGCCCGAGCACAGTCCGAATTCCACCAGGAATTGTGAACCAGGCGCACACGGGGCACTCGTGTGTGCCCTGGGAGGTAAAACTGGCAGCATCGAATAAGGTCTCGTAATAAGGAGAGCTCTAGGGAGAGGCAAATCAGATAGGTCAGAAAGAGTAGCATGGAGGGTGAATAGATTCCAGTTGGCCTTATCAAACAACCACTTAGGAAAGGAGAGGGAAGGGTAGGAAGAATAGAAGGATACAAGGATGGGAAAATGGTCACTTTTATGGAGGACATCAAGATCCTTCTAGGTGACCTCTAAATAAATATAAGAACAGAGAGAAGGATCAAGACAGAAAAGGGTGTGAGTGCGTGTCAACATGGTTTGGCTCACCAGAATTCAGAAGAGACGAAGAAGAGAGGATGGAAGTTTCGAGACGGCAGCATGGGTATTCATCAGATCATCATCCCAAGAATGCATGCAGACAGTTAAAATCACCCAAAAGGAGCACAGGTTCCGGTAAAGAGTCCAATAGGTTTATGATCTGGAAGAGAAAGCGGAACATTTGGGGGAAGATAAATGCAACAGACTGTGTACCATTTACTTACAAAGATATGGGCAATAGAAGAATGAATGCATGACTGAAAAAGTAGAGATACAAAGGGAATATCATTATGGATCAAGACATCAGTAGAATTATGGGCCCCAGCAAAAGCTGGAGGTTAAGAGAGACAGGAATAACCGCGGAAGCGACCAGGACGAATACCAAGCAACGGCTCCTGGAGACAGACACAAACCAGCGAAAACTGAGAGATCAGAAGTTGGAGTTCATGGAAATTCATTTTGCAGGGGGAAGGGTATTTCAGAATTTGGGGGGAGGGACATTTTCATTTTTTCTGTTGGGCTTTTAGGAATTTATTTGTTGAGCGTTTTGGTACGTTTTATAAACGGCCAAAAAAAAAATGCTCAGTAAAATAATATCAGTACCTCTCTATTTCTTACCAGTTATTGGCTGAATGAAGAACTATATTGCAATAACTTATCAGTGCTACTAATGATAGTGCTGGCTATGTGGATATGACGCGTGTTGATGCACAAAATGAGTCACAATAACGTGACTGGAGATGTGGTGACCAAACCACACATCAGAAAATGGAGAAACGAGTTTCAGTCCATTCCGGACCACAGTTATCAAGTCCTGTGACATGGTCCAGGAGGGACTCAACATTGTCATTTCTCTATTTTCTGATGTGTGGTTTGGTCATCATGATTGTTGATGTAGGAGATATGTAGGAGGGTGTGTACACGATTATTATATAGCAAGTAAAAAAAACAATTACTATTCCTTTAAAGGTCTTTGTACTCACATAGAAAGTGTGTGTACAATTTTTAATCAATCTTCAACGTACAATCTTAACGTTTTATCAAACGTTAAGTGAACTTTAAAACCACATTGCCCAACATTTATTATAACTGCTTTATCCAAAACATCTTGTTCAATATCATCTTTGGTCACTGAATATCTTGGGACAATTTTTGCATAGACCAAAAGCCTTTTATAGCCTTGTATTTAAACATATGCACTATACATATTATACAACAAAGATTTCATTCTTTAGTACAGCATTCGACACTTGGTCAGGAAATTATGTTTTTAACATTATGGGGAAATATCCACCTAAACAATAGAAGCACAGGTGTTTCCTGTACGTGTTTACAGAAAGAACACAATTTTGCAACATAAAACTGTATCATAAGAACATAAGAATGAAGGTAACTGCAGAAGGCGTATTTGCCCATACGAGGCAGCTTCTATCACTGCTTATTAATAATGTAGCATCAAGGTTTAGAGCTCATTATTTACTGTGCTAGACAAATCATAACTATCTGTTGAAGCTCCCGAGGATTAATATCCCCGCGGCCCGATCTCTGACTAGACCTCCTGGTTGATAGTCTGATTAAACAGGCTGTTCAATACAGCTGCCCGCAGCCTGACATATGAGTCACACCCTGATTGATCAGGTATTCTTTGCAGGGGGCTTGTCGAGTTCTCTTTTGAACACTATGAGAGATTGATAAGTTATGCCCTGTATACGTAGGGAAAGTGTGTTGGAAATTCTTTGGGCTTTGATGTTGATAGAGTTCTCTCTCAGTGTGCCTATTGCACCTCTGCATTTAAGTGGGGCTATTTTGCACATCTTGCCATGCTTTCTGGTCTCATGTGGTGTTATTTCTGTGTGCAGACTTTGAGCCAGTCCTCCTAATATTTTCTAAATGTATATTACAGTATTATGTCTCTCTCCTGCCTGTGCTCTAGGAAATACAGATTTAAAATTTTTAGGTTCCAGTAATTTAAACATTTTATGTGGGTTCTAGTAGTAAAGGATCTTAACACACACACTCCAAGTCAGCAATTTCTCCAGCTTTGAATAGGGCTGTTAATGTACAACAGTATTCCACTCTAGAGAGCACTAGTCTTAAAATGTATCACCATTGACATGGCATCTCTTGTTTGGAAGGATCATGTTATCCAACCTGTCATTTTCTTGCAGTAATGACAGCTACTTTGTTGTCTTCGTTAAAAGTAAGGTCTTCTGACATGATTACTTCTAAATATTTTACATTGTTTTTTCTTTCAATAGTGTGGTTTGACTGTTTTACATGTGGTTTCTGCTTTGATGTTCTTATTTTTACCATAGCACAGGAATTGGAACTTATCCTTATTAAACATCATGTTATTTTCTGTGGCCCATTGAAAGATTCAGATTTTACTTTGATGACTATTACACTCTGGGTTCTGTTTGATATGAAGTTAAAGATCCATCTCCCTATTTTGCAAGTACTGTACAATAATTCCTTTTGTGCACATTTTGCGTGCAATAACACCATGGTCACATTTGTCGAAGGCTTCTTCAAAATCTGTGTAAATTACATCAACAGTTTGTTTGTCTTCCATGGCATCTAAGGCCATGTCATAGTGGTCTGGCAATTGAGTGGCAGGTGCACCCTGTTCTGAACCCATGTTGCCCAGGGTTATGTAGCTGCTATGATTCCATGTGTTTTGTAATCTTACTCCTTGGAGCTCTTTCAAAGATTTTTAACATGTGTGATGTTAGAGCCATTGGTCTATCATTTTTTGCATCAGCTTTACTACCTCCTTTGTGAAGTGGCATGATCTCTACTGTTTTAAGTGTCAGGGATAACAACAGTATTTAGGCTCCGTCTGGAAAAGATGTTTAGGGTCTGTGATGGCATTTATTTTTTGGAATTCTTGATGAATATAGAATTCCAGGAGTCTGAACTTGGTGCAGATTGCAAGGACATGCTGTCTGTGGCAACGGTACTTCAAAGACAAGTGGGGTCATATCTGGATCATATCTGATATATGGTTCGATGATGGTGTCACAAAGAATTCCTCTGGGTCATTGATCTGCAAGGGTCCTGGGGATTCACTGAAAACAGAATCATTCTGTAACCACGGCATTTCACTCATTTCTTTGCTGTCATCTGTAAAAGTTCCATCACACTTGTGCAAGGACCCAATGCTGGATGTAGGTTTTTGTTTTAGATTTTACATAGGAGAAAAAGTATTTTGGATTCCATTCTATTTCGCTTATGGTCTATGTTTTTTTTTTTTTTTTTTTTGACACAAAGGGAAGGCCATTCTTGTTCCAGTTTGCATCTTTTTCTCTTTCTCATTAGTAGTATGTGACTTTCATATATTGCTAGTGCTACTGTGCCTATTTTCTCAAGGTACTGGTTTAAGTTAGCATTATCTAGCTGTCTTTCCCAGCATATAAAATATTGGCAGATTCCCAGTTCATGCTTTGTTGGATTTTGTTGGGTTATCTCTATGCTGGAAGATGTAGCTCAAGGGCTTTCAGATTCTTCTTGTTGCTCGGTCACTTCCATAACAGGTATTATTATTACTTTCACTCTGGCCACTTGTGCATGGGTTAGCTGCATACGCTTCTTGCACTTACCGATATCTTGTGTTACCACCTCCATCTTTTCTGACGAAACTTTTTTCCTGTTGAATTTCCTTACCTAAACTATTGCACTCACTAACATCTGGATTTAATTTAACTGCAAGAGCTATCTTTAAGACTATTTTCCTCCTCCAGGACTTTTCCTTGAGTTTCTCAGTGATTCTTATCTTTGCATGTTCTATTATTTGACATTTCACGACAAACTTTGTTTCTTAAGTTTTTATTACTGCTGCTCAGTTTCATAATTGTATCTACATTATTATTTACAATGATCTTTATTTTGGCCAACCTGTTGTGAAGACCACTCTTAAGTAATTAAGTATTTATCAAAACAAGGCACCAAGCCGGAGAGGCTATGTAGCACCGTCAAAAGTGCGGAATATTCAAAATGCGCTAAATATCACTAAGGATGCCAATACGAGAACAAAAGCGCAAAAGGCGAACAACATCAAAGTCATGACCACTCCTAATATTATCCTCACCAAGACCATCAAAATGAATTTTTTCTATTTTCTCCTTCCTCTTGCTGGTGGCCATTTTTGTTTGATCACCATGTGCTCCTACACCATTTCCTACAAAAACAGTCAAACTTTTTTGGGCTTGTCTGTCTGGCAGATATTCATACATGTTTATTAACTTTTTCAATCTGATATGCCTTGTTTATCCCCCACAGAATCTCAAAAAACACTGGAGCTCCCCAGCTCTCAACCCTCACACAAGAGACTGCGTGTATTGTTGCCACAAGCCATCATGCCGCTACATTGAAAACAAAGGGTTGAGAGTCAAGGCTAATTTGAAAGAATGGCGACGAGTGTGTAAACTCCATTGAAATAGGTTCCCCTGGTAGGTATAACAGATATGAGACACTTGTGAAGTAAAGTTCAACTCGCATTTCCCACAGACTTTTTTGTACCATCATGCCCTCTTATTTTGGGGATATATTGCATTTCAATAATTGCTGGAACACATTTTTAATTATTCATTTAAGGGCATAGATGTAAGTGAACTCAAGGCAATGGGAAAGCCATGAAATGGTTACAATTTTGTGCAATACACTTGTCTGATGAAAGGTGAAAACTCTAAACAGTTTTTCTTCATAATCTGAAGAATCAGATTCTTTTTGTTAATATTCATGCAACGATTTTAAGCCTGATTTCAATAATTTGAGAGCGATTGCCTCATATACCGCAATCGCCTTAATCGATTTCAGGTGCCCTATTTTATTCAAAAGAAGTTCCCCCTGATTGAGTGGCACTAGAGACTTCTGTCAATCATATGCCATATTTTGAAAACAATTGGAGTCTGTACGAAGACGAGGAGTCACAATAACGTGGCTGAAATATGCTGACCAAACCACACTAGAAAGCGAAGGGACGACGACTTGAGAATGGTCCAGGACGGACCAAAACGTCATCATCCCTTCACTTTCTAGTGTGTGGTCTGGTCAACAATTGGAGTCCTTCTGTATCCTTCCGGGACCTTAGTAAACACATGCTGATCATGTCTGGCACATCACCATTTACTGATCATCTAGGAACCATTGAACTTTTAACAGCAGCAAATCAGTGATAGCACACATCTGCACATATCCATTGCATATACAGAAATTGCATGTCAATTTTAAGTTATATGCATATAAGCCTAAATTACTATATTGGTATGAATAATATATGTATGCACACACTGTATTTATCTGTATTCATTATCTATAAATAATACATAACATTGGAATATACATAACACATCAGTACATACAAGAACTAAAAATAAAGTGAGAACAACGAAAATAAATAGACCAAGTTAGTCCCAGACTGCACCTCGCTTCATTACTACCAAAAAACACAACTTCACCACCCCATTACAGCTGATAATTTATGTGGATTTTCATCCTCCCTGGATGCTAATTAATGAAATCAAAGAATATACACAAGGCAAGTGGAGGGGAGAGGGGGTGACTTATTTTCCCCACTGATAGTCCTCTTTGGCTATGCTCACATTGATACAACTTTATCTGCTGTATCCAACAATACATCCAGAATGTGAACCACTTTCATTGTTTAAATATACAACTTTAATGCAGTCATACTATAATCTCCAATACTACACGAACTATACATAGTACAAATAATGGTAGAGGGGGTTGCCATTGCCCATCCATATGTGGTCCATACAGCTTCGTAGCTCCTATATTACAGGGAACCCATCTTTTCACAAGGGGGCAAAAACAGCCACTTTCTTTTTTAATATCTGTAGCTCTTCTTCACAGAGTTATTCCTGTACTTTGCACCCCTGACTGATGCCTTTCCACTCACGAAAAAAGAAACCAAGACGGTAATGACAGTGAAATGAATACATAGTAAAAATGACCTTGAAAACATAACACCCCAGTCTTACTCGACCTTTATGGCCAAACCATATACTGTGACTGGTACTTAAATTGCAATTAAGCTTGTCTGGTAATGATCATCATTCCTTCCATACAAAACACTCAAAACATGTAACAAGTTATGACAACTTTGTTAATGTCTTATCTTACAAATATGATTTTTTTGGGGAAATTTTAATAATTTACTACTGACAAAATGCTCCTCCACATAACAATTTGTAAACATTAATTTCAGTGTTCCTCACTTTGTTCTTAACCTTTTTTTTTTAATTTTGCATTTTATCTTTGTCGTCTTTGTCACTATTTTGCTGCGAGTATTGTACTATATTAGAATTAATAAAACTCTTGTAGAGTGCACCGACTCTGCAATTTACACAACTTAGGTGTCCATGTCTCTCTCCGTTGATTCAACACACATCATCTGTAACATATCATGGACTCTTCAGTCTCAAATACAGTATTACTGGATAATTTTTGTGAAAATAAAACTGAAGTGAGTTTTTGGCTTCAGCTTCTTTCCCAAAAAAATATATTTTAACAAATAAATTATCAATAATTATTGACTTGAACAGTATTTGTCAGCATTCATCGATAATTATTTTTTGAATGACCAAGTAAAACTAAACATATATTTCTCTCATCAATATACGCCTATAGCTGGCCATCTTACACTGAAATGTATTATATGCGTTAGAGACATAATGTTTCTTACGAAAACTTACCATGTAAGAGAGATATATATATTCTTAAAATGGTTGGGTAGAAATTAAGTCTACTTCAAGTATCACGTCAGGAAAAATGAAATCATCGAGTCATTATCTGCTCCTGTTCCGCTTGCTGATGGTGCATCGTCCAGGTTAACCTGTAAATTCAAGGATACTTTAATAACAGAGACCCGGAGACACTTCAAGATAATACACGACCAAAAATCCCATTCACTCCATAAATCTTCCACCTACAGGTTATTCATGCCCGTGCCATCTCTTGTGGTGGCTTGATCTTCAACAACAACACTTCAATAGTCTACAAAAACTTCCATGCATTAATCATCCACAAAGCCTCCAATGCAGTATTTATCTGATTTTATACATGTTCACCAAACACTGAGGATGCATTCCTGGAAATGAGAGTGATAACTGAATTTGAACTAGACAAGATCATTGCATATATTTGTAAAGGATATTTGAATATGTTCATCATAGGTAATAAAGGTATATATAGGCAATTCTTAGAGAGGAACATATTTCTCACCTGAGAGGAAGTGCCACATGTTATAAACGTATGGCTCAGAGTGGAAGATGGCACAGGTTCGGGGATGAGGGCATCATGCATGGCATATGTCCAAGTCCAAGATCTTGCCACACACTCAAATTGCTTTTTATCGGATTCATACAGTCGTCCAATTTCAGGTTCCATACACACCTGAAATATCAAACAGTCAATACTATTTTGGTGCATGATTTCTGTATGGCTTCAATGCCAAAGACTATGTACTTGAGTGCTCGGAGGTTCGTCAAGATTCTTGAAGCTATCAATGTCCAGCACTACTTACACGACAGCATTTAATACTGTAATTTGCCTTTCCTTCCTAGTACAAGATTTTAAAAATTCTTTTTTTTTATCACAATGGCATGATGTATCAATGAAAATCCTTTTGATGTAACGACTTGAACGAGCAGTCTGGTGAATCCCAGAACACCAGCCTTGACCAACTCGGAAACAATGAGCTACAGTAGTAGTCGGTAAAGGTAGGTGTTTCCCAGTGAATTCAGTAGAGTTCCAGGTTGATTGAGTTTTAGCCCATCGTGGCTGAGTCGGTCAAGGTCAAGTCTGGGATTCACCAGAATGCTGGATCAAGTCACTCCATTGTCTCAAAGTGATTTTCTTCATTCTTTTAAATGAAAACAAAATCTACATTATGTTTTCTTTATTATATGATTCCTCAATAAATTTCATTTACTCAATAAATTATTGCCATATACAATAAAATATTAAGTAAGAATATACTAAATGTATTTAACTATAGGGCAGATTTTAACGACATGATCCTAAGTGGCCCTGATGCATGATGCTGCTGTATTAAACAATTTAAATTTCACACTCCAAACTGCAGAAACCCAATTGTTCAAATGGATAGAATGGTTAGAGAGAATGGTCAAAAGGCTGTTTAATTACACACTATGCAAAGGCACAGAGGCACGTGATGGCTTGGGTTTAGTCTGCCTAATATTTACTCCTAGCACCAGGGCAGTACAGCAGTCGATCCAAACATAAGCAACTGCATGCGAGCCTAAAAATCCATGGACAAATGACCTTACATGTTTACTCAGCAGTGTGATAATATTATTCTCAACACCACACCACCATCTATGGGAAAGGGGAAGGGAACTATCAGGAGAAAGTACCAAGCCATTACAACTATATAGCCCATGGAGGGGATCAGAATAAAGATTTGGGATGGAACGGGGAAAACGAATCGTGCCCAACAACTTGGACAGTCGGGGCTTGAACGCCGACCCTGCATGATACAAGACTGTCACTACCGTCCAGCCCAAGTGGTTAGGCACCTACGGGAAAGCTTTACCACACTATTATGTCATGACATCACTCATAGAGTAATATACAGGGGCATCTTGATTAATGAGTTTAATCTGTTCCAGCACCGAGCTCATCACCCCAGGCCTCCTAGGGGTGAAGGCCTGGTTGAGGACCGGGCTGCGGGGACACTAAAAAGCCCCGAAATCATCTCAAGAATCATGTGGAAAACTCGTCTTGTGAAACAACAACAAAACTCTCGCAAAAGGTGTCCGAGAACCAGCGGAACACTTGTTAATTGGGGAAAAAGCTCGTTAGTAGAGACAAATGTTCTGCGAGTGGCTTGCTCGTTAATCAAAATGCTCGTAACTGGAGCCGCTCGTCACTCAAGGTTCCACTGTATAACATCACAGATAAACATGCACTACTCCTTGCTAACATTTCTCCTAAGCAGCACCTCGTCACCTCATACACCTGGTCTTATAGAGCAGTGGGCTACTGCTGTGTATACTTACGGGCTCACCATAGCCCGTGCTACATGGACACTTCGTCCTGAGTAGTTAAATCTTTAACAACAACAACATACTGCTGTGGATGACCACTCGAGTACAGATTATCTGTGATGCTATATATATATATTGTTATGTGTTCTGTTCACCCAGCAGTGGAGGGGTACCTGGTTAAATTATTTGGTGGGTCATATTCTGGGGAAAAGTTTGGATTTAGGACCTGCCTGAAACTATGCGTGCTAGTGGCTTTACAAGGATGTAAGAACTCTTGTATATATGTATAAATAAAAATAAAAAACAAAAACTGATATTTCTAAAGTTTGATTACATAATATCGTTGAATGCAATGAACACCATATCTATACAAATAAAATCCATCTTCAATTCTAAGCTGCAGAGCAAGTTTAGGACAGAGTAACTTAACTCATCCATACTACTGTGTGCTAGTATTCATTCAGTAACTGGGTCTCATTGTGCCAAGTTTGTCACAATTTGAACACACTTTCAGCACAATTTGTATTTTTATTTTTATATGTATTAACGACACTTTTTATTTACTTATTTAAATACAACTCAAAAGAAAATTAAGCAAATCAAATCAAACCCCCTTAAATTTGACAATAAAATATTAACTAATTTTGAAATAAACCATGAATCATAGAAAAATTAATATTATAATATGTTAACATATTGGCGAGATGATGACAGTGGTGACTAGTGAAAAATCATGTGAGAGCTCGCAAACTATTCATGAGCTTTGCTTCACAAATTGTGCAATTTTATTTACACAAAAAAACAGTGCAGCTTATCAATGCATAAATATGGTACCTGTACAGGTATTGGTTTCTCACTGCCAGGGACAAAAAGCCTCTTAGGCTTATCGAGGTCCCCCCTTGGCCGACTTCTGACCTTTCCCCCCCCATGATGCAACTCATAACAGTTGCCTCCCAGGTACCTGTTTACTGCTGGGTGAACAGAGGCATCAGGTGAAAGAAACCTTGCCCAAGCACCTCTGTCCTGTTGCAGAAATTAAACCCGGAACCTTTCAGCTGTGAAGCAACCAAGCCCGACCATTGCATTACAGGACCCCTATAATCTCCACTCTTCACCATTCAAGCATACAGTGGGTCCATCATTAGCAAACATTAGCTTCCAATTTCTAAATTTTATGGCCCATTTTTGGAAAGCATCCTAATTGTAAGTTGGGGACTGCCTCTACCCTGCAAACACACAACGTAACGGTCTCTATGATTCCTTTGTTACAACTTGTAATAAACAGACGAGGAGTCACAATAACGTGGCTGAAATATGTTGACCAAACCACACACTAGAAAGCGAAGGGACGACGACGACGTTTCGGTCCGTCCTGGACCATTCTCTAGACAATTGATTTGAGAATGGTCCAGGACGGACTGAAACGTCGTCGTCCCTTCACTTTCTAGTGTGTGGTTTGGTCAACAACTTGCAATAAAGTTGTTACATCTTGTTATAACATTTTTATGATATATTAGAACATTATTACAACTTGTTATATTGGTTGTTACAGTTGTTAAAAGGTGTTAAAACTTGATCGAACATTGTAGCACCGTTGTCGTTTGGCGGGTATACCTTATTACAGGGCAGGGGGGGGGGGCTTAGTTAGTTGATTTAGTTGCTTTTCAAAGCAACTAAATCTTACTGCAAATTCAGCTTATAAGGAATTTTGAATAAATTATCTAAATGTAAATGTAAATCACACAATAGTTATTTATTAGCATACAACAGAAAAACTCTCACCTTAATATATGGGTCAGTGAGGAGAGATTGAATTGAAATGAGAACCTTCGAGATAGTTAATGCTAAAGACCAGTTATGTTGTATGGAGTCAATTCCAATGTCTCCATGCCGAGATATATTGGGATGGAAGATCTTGGTGATAAAGCGAACAATAGGTGGACACAGAGGATAACTGAAAAATAAAATAGCTGATTAGACTGCAGTCAAAATAGAGCATCACACATTTCCAAACCACAAACCAAACAACAAGATAAATGGATTGAGTGATGGTCTCAAGACTCGGCACTGGGACACTTTGGCCACCAGTGCCCAGACCACAAGAAAAATATGGGATCGGATTTTGTTTGAAACGACAAGATTACACGAAATACCTTATTGTCAGTAATGCAGTGGAGGTCAACCTCAGGTAAACTTGTAGTTTACCAATATGTACCAATAAGCATTGATTTTTTGGTTAAAATTCTTACTAATCATATCTCCCAGATCCCTTTTGCAATCTCAAGACCATCTAGCTCGTATCTTGTAACTCTGTCATCATTACCTAGCCATAAAACCTTACATTTGTAAGCATTAAACTGCATCTGCCGCAAGTAAACTTGCAGTTTACTGGAGGAGGATTTTAAGCTCTTCTGTTCTTGTAGTCTACCCTGAGATTCAGCCTTTATAGTGCCTGCCTGATCATCAGCCTATTGCTACTTGCAGCCTGTAAGCCTACATAGCCATCACAACACAACTAGCCTGTAGAAAGCTGGTTTTACTTCAGCATCTCCATCTTTATTCCACCGAGTGTTATATTTACTGATAAACAACCGAAACATCTAGGTGCTTTGACGTTGAAAGAAGAGAATCTTCAAAATTTCTAGTACGTTTTCAACACTAGCTGGTGTTTTTTTTTTTTCTCGGTATCAGATTCGAGAAGAATGGATGACAGGAGTTTGGGTTTAATTTATCCTAAATTCTGTCATCAATTCTTGAAAATAAAAAAAATTATGTAATATATATATAAACAATTTTGGACCTTAGTTGGTGTTACCCAACTGTATTTTGAATACAGCCCAAAGTGTTTCTTAACTACTGTATTTATGACACCTTCCTTGAAATGTAAGTTTACTTATTGTCCTTGCTAAGTTGGATGGATTGCTTGGGTTCATGCCTTTTTGGTTAAGAAAAACAGTTGCATTTTTAACAATAGAAAATTGAAAGAATAGACTGAAATAACTGCAAATAACTGCCCAGATTAAAAAAAAAAAAAGCGTTGAATGTAATGAAATGCCATTTTCTGGGCGAGACCCGGAGGCTCCCCGGAGCTATCCAGGCTGATGTGTATTTACAGTATTTAGCTTTCTGGCATCAGTCGAAGTGCAAGGAGTTCTGCCTACCGGGAACCATGACCAGAACCTGGCCCCCTCAGAGAGGTGCGAGGAGTGAGCCTATAGAACCCCACGTGTGGTTGGAAGTATTCTATGTCTGCCATCGACCGGATTTGTCATCCAGAAAGGTTGGCATCCCAAAACAAACCCCTAAACTGGTGAAAATTGCTACTGAAAGCCAAACGAGTGGACAGAACTCCCCAAACGAAAACTGCCAACTAGCATGACGTCATCACGTCGCCGTCTGTGCATGGAGCTACTTACTACACCCTGCACCTCTCTGAGGGTGGGGGGGGGGGGGGGCAGGTTCTGGTTCATGGTCCCTGGTAGGTCAATAAGAACTCCATGACTGATGGCATCTTAAAGTCTGGCACTATACCGGTATACAGTACTATAGTAGGTTCAGGGAGCCACAGGGGACTTCCCCCAGAAACATACCTGTGGGGTATCTGGATGTACAGGAAAAATGTCCCGCCCTCATAAGGAGATCCTGCAGGACCCCGTATTGAAGCTTGCCAGTGCAGGGACATCTTATCGAGAGGAGATGCCTGAATGCCTTCAGGTGGATCTGACCGCAGTGCTACAAACAAGAGAAAAATCAAGCATCATAAACTGTACACATATAAATACACAAATACAAATCTTGTACACATTAACACTGGCATAATTTAGCTACACTACTCTGAGAAAATTCTGCATTATAAATTCATCATCAATATTTTTTTTCCATCAAAGCCTGTCTTGTTAATTCATTAATATTTTACCCCATTTTAAATTCTCAGCTCCTTTAAAAAATGTTCAGTTTAGGTAAGCTATGCAAAAATGAATAACCTGTATCCAACTTGCTTGTGCTCTGTAATGGTGGTCAATATTGTTCTCGAATTGATTAATTGATTTTAATGTTAAAGTCTAACAATTCTGGGAGACTTTCAGTCACTTATCTTGAGGTTATCTTGAGTTATCACTAGGTGAAGATCTTATTTCAGCAATTTATGATTTGTATTAAAAGTGCATATAGGAATTACAGCTATGAGCATGTGATTGTGCTGACTTTATGAGATGCCATATATGTGAAAAGTACACTGGCTAAGATGGGTGTCATTTTGAATAGCCACAACCATTAGTTATACAGTAAACTTTTCGTCTTTGCTGCTGAAAAAAAATGCCTTCCAAAAAATAGAAAATTGGATCATATGGACAATAATAATACATGGTATCAAATATACCCTTACTGTATACTGTATCAGTGTTAAAAGAAATCAAAAGTTTGATGTACTCTGCATCTAAACATGAGACAAGATGATAACGAATACCTAAGCAGTGTTGTATATATTTAAAACAAATAACAAATCATGGTGGCCTGAGTATCTGAAGCCTTCTGATGATGTATCCGAGGACTCCAGACACATTCCTGCACTAACATTTTCAACCACAAAATTTGTAGTCTTACTACGTTCACGTGTGCAATAAAAACTATACATAAATGATCACTTGATTTATATTTTATTCAAAACATGTGACTGTCTGAAAACACACTTTACCATCACAATGACATGAAGAGGATCAGCAAGATTTTGCCCAAGAAAGTGAACAAGAGGTATGGCACAGAAAAAAGAAGCTCAAGTGGCTTATCAAGCTTATCAAAAACTATATGCATCACCAGTCACACTTGCAAAAACAAATCACAATACAAATGTTTACCTTTACATTACTAGGATTTAATACTGTACTGTACTACATATATCAATATGAATTAAATTATAATAACAAATAATACAAAAATATAGAAAAAATTAATTACTTCGAAGTTCATTTCGTAGGCGATTTCTTCTCCACGAGTTTTCGCTGTTGTGTGGTGGTGTTAGCAGAGACATCTGGTGAAGACACACGTGGCAAGGTGCACTCTCTGTTCTGAAGGCAAGATATATTTTGCACTAATTAAAATTCATTCATTTATGCAGACTGGGTGATCTTGACTGAACATTGCAACACTTCCATGAAGTACAGTACATAGAGGTGTGTATATTTGTCATCGATATGACTACCTGACCCCTCTCTCATGGGGTGGGGAAGCATATAGGAAAAGAATATATGGTACATATCCTATTCAAACATACAGACATCCTATCCTATTCAAACATACAGACATCCTATCCTATTCAAACATACAGACATCCTATCCTATTCAAACATACAGACATCCTATCCTATTCAAACATACAGACATCCTATCCTATCGAAACATACAGACATCCTATCCTATCCAATATCATTCACTCTCTTAACCCTCAAAGTGCAGTCATCCTCATTTGTCGAGATCCAGTTCCACTACATTACCGTCATAATGTTATTGCTCAATTTGTGTACCAATGGTATTAATATAATAACTTTCAATCAGGAATACTGGGTTCAATTCATGGAAGGGACAGAAATGGTGGCCATGTTTCTTTTCACCTAATACCTCTGTTCATTTAGTAGTAAATAGGCACCTAGGAATTATGCAACCATTGTGGGGTTGCTTCCTTGGGAGGGTCAGTATTCTTATCTTAGAGGGACCTAAAAAAACATCGATGAATGTAATGAAACGCCATTTTCTGGGCGAGTCCCGGAGGCTCCCTGGAGCTATCCAGGATGAATGGATATGTATAACTTTCTGGCATCAGTCAAAGTGCTAGGAGTTCTTGCCTACCGGGGACCACGAGCCAGAACCTGGCCCCCTCAGAGAGGCACGAGGAGCAATGGCCTATAGAAACCCCCTTGTGGTTGGGAGCATTCTATGTCTGCCATCGACCGGGATAGGCACCCAGAAAGGTAGGCGCTCCAAAACAAACCCCTATTCTGGTGAAAATATTGCTACCGAGAGCTGAACGAGTGGACAGAACTCCCCAAACAGAAACTGCCAAACCGCAAACTCTGCAAACAGCAAGGACAAAACGGGCAGTGAAAAACCTAAGAGCCAAGGCCCAGGCAGAGGCCAACAAAGAAACGAGCACCATGAGCTGAAATGGGAAATGAGAAGTGAAAAACAGGGACCCCAAAACCCGCAGGAGCAGCACCACCAGCCCCAACAGGGCAGAAAGAAGCACTTCCCATTCGAAGGAAGGTGAACTATGCAAGACATGTACGGCACTAAAAAAATGTACAGTCCAGAAAGGAACACAAAAAAACCCGTAGCCAGGGCCAGAAGCCAAATGCCCCCTGCCCCAACAAAAGGAACTGTAGGGGCAGGAGTGGGTGATTGGAAGCTACAGACACCAGCAAACATTGCCACACAGAAGCTGGTAGTGACAAAGGAGAAGAGGAAGAACGTAGAGCTACACCGGATCCCCGGGCCTGTTCCACAACAGGAAAACTGAACAAGAACAGAACGCAACCTAACACAATGCAACCTTAAGCAGAACCAAAGGAGGCCAACCAGTATCCATACCTTCTGCCCAGGATAGAGAAATGGAGTCCAAGGGAAAGGCTTCAAAAGTTTGTGGTTGGCTGAAAAGAAAGGCCCAAAAGCCTCAGCGGGATCATCAGTTTCAACTACAGTGGCGCCTTGATTAACAAATTTCATCTGTTCTGGCACCGAGCTCGTCATGTGGTTGTATATAGCTTATACAGGATTATGTACAGCTTCTCCCCCTTCCTCGTCTAATATGTCTATCCATGTGAAATAGTTTAAATCCCTTTACTGTATTTAGTATTCAGCTGATAGTTCCCTCTTTTCAATATTTACCCATATTTTGGTTACTGCAATAATATTTAGTTTCTGTCCATAGAAGAGCATTTAAGTAATTTATTTTTGTTTCTTTGGACAGAACTTCTATTATTTGTGCAATACGCCTTAAATTGGTCTTTTGAGATGTTCTCTATCTCTATCGGTATGTTCCTTTCACCAACACATTTTCCCTGACAAAACTCAGCCTTCCTTTCCTTCTCCTGCCCTCAAATTTACTTCAATACACACACTTCACCAGTCTACCATCACTCATTCATTCATTCAACACATCCAAATTATCTCAATACTCTACTCAATCTCTCGATAAAGTTTTCATTCCATGCTTTGTCTACTTCTCCTACCAATACATGTTTCAAAGATTATTCATTTCGGCTATTCTCTCTATTTTTCCTTCACTTTATCACTTGAAATGCACGCTTTTAACCAATCATATTCATACATTCCTCCAATTTCCTATTGTATTTGGCAGTAAATAAGCTTATCATATGAATTTCAGTTCATATTCCCATTAATACTCACAATTTAGTGTAGACCATCTGCCAGGGAACGTTCTTAAAGAGGGGTGCATAGAGTGGCCATCTACGCTGTGTGTACTTCTGCCACTGATCATCCGTCACATACCGATCAACCAGTTGCTGCCAACGACGACACACTCGTCCAACAGACCATAATGTCATGTCGTCTAGGAAATCAAACACCAACACCCAAACTGTGGAATGAATATACCATTTAAGAATGCTGTGCTGTAGACTCTTTGGGCTTGCAGATTGGAAGTACAGTACAGTACATTAAAAATTTACTTTCAAGTGCCATTTCGTTTATGAAAGAATGATGGTTATCTTGAGATGATTTTGGGGCCGAGTGTCCCCGTGGCCCGGTCCTCGACCAGGCCTCCTTTTTGTTACACATCCCCAGGAAGCTGCCTGTAGCATTTGTCTAACTCCCAGGTACCTATTTACTGCTAGGTTAACAGTGGCATTAGGTGAAATGAAATCTGCTCAGCCATTTCTGTCCCAACCTGGGATCCTTGATCATGAGTCGAGAACAAAGCTAACTACAGTATACTGTACTACAAGACCCACTATGTCCTGGTAACGAGTTACTAGAGCATATTTTCACTAAAAAAATTATAACTTAAAATTAGTTATGTCAGGTTTGTTGAAAAGATTTCTGCCTCCAAGTATAGGCAATCAATTGGAATTTTCATAAGAAGCATACATTAAATCATGGTAAAATTAATGAAGCATTTTTCAATTTGTTTAAGGAGTAAATTCAAATAATTCCTAGTACTATTTGTAGTTTTTTGTATGCCAGTAGCATATTTAGAGTTGGATAGGTCACTCTTCATAAGCAAATTTTTCAGAAGTGTTTTTCAGAAGTTTTTTTAACTCTTTAGTCTATCCTTTAGTTGCCTGAAATGCAACAAAATCCTTTGTTCAACCTGCAGTGTCAACACCTCCAACCAAGATGGGAGAAGAAGCATCATCATCAAAGAAAACAACATTAGGAGACAGTGCATAAAGTCTGCAGCTATAATAAAAAAAAAATCAACAGAATGAAGGAATATTCAAAACTGCTACCCCCTTCTGCTAAATTAATATTTCATAAATATATATTGCAACACACTACCCCTTTTGTCTCTCGCCATTAACTTCACCATACTAATCCACAATTGACTCAGTGACCTCACCTCTCCATTTTCCTCTTTACAGTATTGTATATGTACTAACCCTGTGTATCCGTTAGATTTGATGACACCCTTGCCAAGATCTGATTACTAGTAAAAAAAAAATCTACAAATAGTCTATCATCTCGGTATTTCTGCACATACATTTTTAAAGATTCAGAAGAGTCACAATAACGTGGCTGAAGATATGAAGACCAAACCACACACCAGAAGTTGAGGACACGACATTTCAGTTCGTCCCGAACCATAATCAAGTCGAAATTTCGTCGTCTCCTCACCTTCTGGTGTGTAGTTTTATCTTCAGTTTTAAAGATGTTATCACTGACCTTCTGGAGGCATGCGATGTATGAGCATCGGGTCAAGATTTTCACTAGGTCGAGGGCAAGTGAGTTGGATTATTTGTTCTTGAAGAGTTTCTCTTATTGCCCCAGTTCTTCCTTCAGGATTCCTAACAAGTGAAATTCTTGTATCTCCCATTCGAAGACTGCCACCACCATTGCCACTGCCTCTTGAAGCTCCTCCCCCTCGTCCTGCACCATTTAGTCCTGGTATACCTCCAGCTGCGCCCATCACTAGCATGCTAGTACTAGAACCATTGATACCACAAATGCTCCCCATACTTCCAGATGCTTGCACTGCTATAGCTCCAGGTATTACAGTAGATGGTCCTGCTCCCGATAACTCTACAGCAGATGTTAAGAACGAGTCACTGCTGCCAACATCCATGCTATCAACAGCAGCACCACCACCACCACCATCAACAACAAAATCAAAGTCGTCAGTTTCTGTTTCGGTGTTGACCAACACACTGATGTTGCTAGTGTTTCCTTCTTGTTGTTGTTGATGCTGCACTTGCTGCTGTTCTAATATATGAAGATCATAATGCTGCTGCTGATAATATTGCTCTTGCTGCTGCTGTGATGGCAACTGCTGCATCTGCTCCTGTGTTTGGTAATAATCTCCTGGTTCACGTGGTTCTTCATTCCCTGAATCACCATCATCAGTTTTCTATGGAGATAATGAGGCATATTAACAACTTTATACACCATAGAATACACTTACTTGCATGTCTACAAACTGCACCGTAATTAGTCCAGTGACCAATTTTGTCTAGCAGTTTCTGTTAACTTACAGAAATTCTTCTCATTCCCTACATTAAAAACAAAATTTGTCAGAAGACTTAAAAAAAAAAAAAAATGCCTTAATTGGCATACACATGAGGAAACATGACAATGAGAAGCAGGAAATAAAAAAAATAATAATGATAAAAACCAATAAAAAAGCAGTAAGTGATGAAGAGAAAATAATCAGCATTAAATAATGAAACACCTCATTTTAGTGGGACCTCAAAGGCTCCGTGCTGCTAGTTGCCTGCCCGCCAAACACACACTGAAACTACGACGTTGGTACAACATTCGAACAAGTTTTAACACTTCCTAACCAGTTATAACAATCAACGTAGCAAGTTGTAACAACGTTCTAATACGTCATAAACACGTTAAGCCAAGATGTAACAACTATATTACAAGTTGTAACAAGCGGAAAACAGACACAGTTTCGGGTTGTGTTTCCAGGGTGGTTAGCTCCACCTAATTCAAATCATACCAGGCCCTTGTATGTCATTATAAGTGTAGCAGGGACCAGAGGCATGTCAGAAGAGGTGCAGAAAGAAAGGGATCCATGATGACCTTAACCGAGAAACAAGCCACCAGAAAGGCAGAGCCAAACCAAACAAGACAACTGCTAGGCAAATTTAAACAACTCAGACAATGAGCCACCTATCAGTTAGGTCATTCACCCTCTCGTTCACAGCTGCCCACCACCCAGTACAGAGCACCCAGCTTAGCCAGTGTAGCTATATAAGTCATGAGCTAACCAAAGGCAGACAACACACCTAAAAGTGGAAGGTATGGCAGAGAGCCACCAAGGACCCACCAGGAAGAGGCATTTTATTACATTCTCTGCTGGTTTTCTGAGAGGGCTCCATTGGTGGGCTCCTGTTGCCATCTCACCACAGAGAATAGAACACAAAGGGGAATTCACCAGGGGCAGAGGAGGGTAGAAGCCAATAACCCCAAAGGAAGGAGAACCAGTGCTAGGTAACTCACCCTAACACCACATAAGCTTGGTGGTAATGCCCAATACATTAACAAGTTAACGAGACACCAAAACATTGTTAGATTGCCAGAGACATTAACTGAAGACATGTTTGCAAAAACAGTAGACAAAACTGGAAACTTTTGCACATCATGGGCCTGAGGGTACCTGGATGGGGTTTTGGGATTTCTTCTACTCCAAGCCTGGCTCGGGGCCAGGCTTGACCCAGTATTCAAGGATCATCTACCATGGCTAGGGTAGATAACAGGCTAACCTAACTTGACACTGAGGTTGATCCAAAACAAACAGGCCTTTGAACAAGGGATCATGGACACCAGATCAACAAACACCACATCCCCTAGAACATCACGAGTGGCATGCAAATAATGATCGACAGGTGTAACAAACAAAACAAATGATGCACATCTGGACAAACAAACCAAGCATCAGTGACCAAGGGATCCCTCCTAAAACACCCACCAGGCATGAAGCTCCCTGATCTTACAACTGGAAATAAGAACCAACAAAAACAGAGCCTTATAAAGAGTCCCCCAGAATGAAGGGGTGACCAAGAATCAAGAAGAAAGATTCACCAAAACCTAATCCAGCAACCAAAAAATTCAGGATGAGAAATAGCATGCCGGAGGTGACGAAAAAATGAACAGGCACTGAACAAAGCACTTAACGATATGAGGTGACAGTATTTAGCACGAGATGCTGATTAATGAGCAACCCGGACAAAGAGGATAGTTCCATCAGAACTAAAACCGAAGACAATTGACATAGACAGGAAAAGATAAAAAGGAAAACCACAAAAAACTTCCTACTGTTGCTTAGACGAAAGATATAGTTGGGTCACCAAGAGAGCAGACATCTGCACACCATACAAATGGCAACTGACTAAGAGTTATAAACTCCAGACATTAAGATCGAAGGAGTTTTAAGCCATTAAGGAACATTACATAAAATATTTGTTGAAAGAAGAGGAGCCATGGAAAAACATGCTGGTTTGGACGAGTGCAAAGTGCCGGAAACCACAGCTGAGCCGGCCATAAGGATTTTAGTCTGACCTGTGGTAGTCTTTTAATGACTTGCAAGAGCCCTCCCAGAAAATAATAATCTTGTGAAAATCCCAGGGTATCCCTAATGGAGATAGATACCTATTTACAAGGTATAAACTATCATAGCATTACACATTTTTCCATTCAAAGCCAAGCTGGGACCAGATTCATGAAGCAGTTATGCAAGCACTTACAAACCTGTACATCTTTTCTCAATCTTTAGTGGTTTCGTTTACAATTATTAAACAGTTAATGAGCTCTGAAACACCAGAAGACTGTTTATAACAACAGTTCATTGGGAAGGTTTTATGCTTGTAAACTGTTTAATAAATGTAACCAAAGCTGTCAAAATTTGAGGAAAGATGTACACGTTTGTAAGTACTGTACTGTACTTGCATAACTGCTTTGTGAATCTGGCCCCTAGTCTGCATAGTTATGCAGACCATAATTCTTACCTCTTGGTATGGACCAACACTAGGTAGCTTTGAAGGATCATCTGGGTAGAGAAACGCATGACAGGTGGTACACAATGGCTGTCCAAAGTTTGGTCCATAAAAGCCACTGCAGTGGAAACATGAATCATGCTGAAAGGAAAACAAAATAAAATCAGAAATAATTTAAAACAGAAAATCATCATTCATTGTACTTATATGCAAGAAAATACAACAGGTAACTTATAATAAAAATCATACATTAGAGTAAACTTTCAAACACCCGAGTATCATGGTCAAGTCTTAATGCTAACAAAGTACAGTACAATAGTTGAAGTACTGTATACAGAAGTAAAGTATATATCGGGTCCCAGTAGTACAGTCGGGTTTGTTCTCAACGCACAATCGAGAATTCCGGATTCAAATCCTGGGCGGGACAGAAATGGTTGGTACATTTCCTTTTACCTAATGCCTCTGTCCATCCTAGCAGTTAGTAGGTACTCAGATGTTAGTCAGCTTGTTGTAGGGTTGCATCCTGTGTGGGATTCAGCCTGGGGAGGTTAGAGAACTTCGATAAAAGCCTGATGTGTATGAATACACTCAGGCTTCCTGTCCTGACACAATGAAAGAATTACAACTTTTAAAACAATTAAACATATTATAGCTAACATGTAGGCAGGCAATTTTGGTACTTACTACTGTATGTAACATTAGTTTAGTGACAGTTCAGTACTGTACTGGGAAGGGTGGCAAAAAAGGGAAACTGTATTGATGAATGAGGGGGAATTATCAGGAGAAAGTGCCAAGAACTATAGTACATAGCACCTGGAAGAGATCAGGAAAAGAATTTGGGATGAGACGAAGGGAAAGGAATGGTGCCAAACCACTTGGTTGGTTGAGGATTGAACGCTGATCTGCATGAAACGAGACCATCGCTCTACCGCTCAGTCTAAGTGGTTCCACATACTGTATACTGATTAATGAGTTATATTTTAGATATAATGTACAGTATTAGATGTATTAATCACCGTGCTGCGCAAAGCACCTTGAGGCATTATGAGTGTTATGCTTTTTTTTTTTAATTAGGCTATATTTTAATGTTTTTAAATGTTATCATCACTGTTTTGAAATGAAAATGGTTGAGTTCGGAAACATTTTGACATTAACTTTATCTGAACACTTAGAGAGAGAAAAAAATATGCCCTTAACAATTGCACTATGAAGTTTTTGCCGAAACCAGGTGCAGTACAGTGGTTAACAGCACAAAGGTCTTGCAAAGATGTGATTTAATAATGTAGTTTCCATAATGAAAAGTTGTAACTATAGGCTAGGATGGTTTAAAAATCCCCCAAACAATGCAAAAATGCCATTAAAGAGTACCGACACAATGCACCCTAATATCAGATATTAATGCTCAGTGGATTCTAAGAAACGAGGCATCAAACACTGGGATACCTGGTGTTTGATACTTAGCCTTGAAGGTGTCTCCAGACACCTTCAAGGCAAACCTACCTGCATGCAGGAACCTACCTGGAGCATACCTGGAGAGGGTTCTGGGAGTTCTTCTCCAGGTCTGCTATTCTCTAAGTGTTTTCTAAATTCTCTAAATCTAAATATATGCTGTACCTGGAAACCAGTGCCGAGGTGTCTGGAGACTTGGCTTTGAAATGAAACTCTGGACTTCACAGTTTTTGGTTAATATCTCTGTGGGCATTGCACATATAGTTGCCCATTCCGGTGTCATTTTATAGAATGTCTTTTTATATGCACCTTTGTACCCGAGACGATTTACCAACGGATCTTAAAACTTACCTAACCCAACCCATCCCAACTCAACCTACTTACTCCAACTCAACCTAACCAACCCATCTCAACCTAGACTAACTCATCCCCTCCTAATGTAATACATGATTTTTATATTTAGAAAATGAACTTTGTCAAAACACTTGTATGCAATTTGACTCTACACATCTGGGAATTAGGCAACTATCATGGATTGCATCCTGGGAAGGGTCAGTAAATGGCCCAAGGGGACCTTAAAAACTTAACAACATTCTATCCCAGACAATGGAAAACCATAACTATTTTTTAGCTATTTTTTAGTTGACATTTTAAGAACAAAATTTTCTTAAACTGTCCAGTGATCAGTGGCTTTACAAAATCCACTTTGTACAGAACATGGTTTTCAAACAGATTTTAAAACAGTCTAACCATGAGATACTTACTATATATTAAGAATTTAAAGCATACTGTATAGCGTGCTCATATAAAGAAAATTACAAAATACTTTGTAAAAAGTGGTAGAACTTTTTTTTTACTCTGTACCAACAAAATGACCTCTGTACACAAATTACTCTGTATTAAGTGCCTCTGTATATATTTATTTATTTATTTATTTATATACAAGAAGGTACATTGGGTTTGTGAGAATATATGTATTCTCACAAACCCAATGTACCTTCTTGTATATAAATAAATAGTATTTACAATCTTGTAAAACCACTAGTATGCGCAGCATTTCGGGCAGCCCAAAAATTACACAAATTACTGCACCTTGCTCGAGTTAAGCACACAACTTTTCAGAAAATGTAGTATAAGGTTTAGCTGTTCTTTGCCACTCATCCAAGCCATTAGGCCAAGTTTCACTAGACTATATGGATGTGATATATTATGCTGGTTAGGCTAGATAAAGGCTAGCACAAGGTTACCTTGAGATGATTTTGGGGCTTAGCGTCCCCGCAGCCCGGTCCTTGACCAGGCCTCCTAGTGTATAATACCGTAGTTATTTTTGTTTGGAGCAAGAGGGTAATGGGATGCCTAGACCTGAAACTGTCTATGGAAGACCATCACTTTTTTTTTTAACAATGAGCTAGGCCTAAATCTAACACTGCAGATACATTTCCGACACGGAAATGTATCTGCAGTGCATCACTCGGTGACAATTGATGCCTGCCTAAAACGCTATGCGTGTTAATAGCTTTGCAAGAATGAAAAAATACAAATGTTATGTACTCTCACAAACCCAATGTACCTAATTGTATATATAAATAAATAAAATAATATAAATAAATGTTTTGTAATTCAGCAGATATAAGTCTCTCTTGCCCACAAGATGGTTCGCCAACTGATTTTAAAACCCAACGTTACCTAACTCAACCAAGCAAACATAGCTAACCTAAGCTGTGTTTTGAACATCACTACCTAACAATACATATACAGTTTCGACAATCAGAAAATGAACTTTGCGAAAACGCTTGTGTACGACTTTATCATACCTCAAATCAGCACTCTAAACAAAATTATTTTCATAACATGCTACTTTATAGTAGCTTTATTTATTTATATACAAGAAGGTAGATTGGGTTTGTGAGAGTACATAACATAGGTGTTCTTACAGTCTTGCAAAGCCACTAGCACTGCACAGGGCAACTTACAATGATACAGTATTGTTGTTTTAGATTCAGCTCCTCAGAACGACGTGTCCATGTAGCATGGGCTATGGTGACCCCATAAATGTTAGCTTGAAATCTTATCGACGAACTAATATGTGCTTATCCACGTAAAGCAGCATTATCACTGCACTATCAAGCAACCACATACAACATACCAACACTAATTAATAATTTATATTCAGAAAAAACTACATACATAAAAAATGAGTTACCAACAGAACGTCGGATTTCTAGAGCTATATACTTTACAGTAATAATAATTTGGATTCACAAGAAGGTACAATAGGTTAGTGAGATTACATAAGACTTAGTTTTTTACATTCATGCAAACCCACTTGCAATACTTATTGCAAATATTGCAAAGACGCATAATTTTGGGCACTATGCCTAAAACCCCACTAATACACATAGCATTTTATTGCCACACCGGTCTCCTAACGCCTTCAAAATGCACCCTAAGCAAGCTGACCTTATGGGCGAAGTCCTCGGTGAACTGCATCATAAATCACTATATTCAGCGACACGGAAATGTAACTAAAAGTTGGAGGTCAACCTTGCAGCAGCCGATGCCAGACCCGCAGACCTGAGCTCTTGTTGACAAACCTCACCAGGGTCTCCGTGGCGCAGTGGGCTGCCGAGTCCCATCAACACCTGAAACGGGTTTCAAAGTAATATATTTTGATATATAGAGTACACTACACGATGTTAATTGTTTTATTATTATTATTTCTGCACACACACACACACATATATATATATATATATATATATATATATATATATATATATATATATATATATATATATATATATATATATATATATATATGTCGTACCTAGTAGCCAGAACGCACTTCCCAGCCTACTATGCAAGGCCCGATTTGCCTAATAAGCCAAGTTTTCATGAAATAATGTTTTTTCGACTACCTAACCTACCTAACCTAACCTAACTTTTTCGGCCACCTAACATAACCTAACCTATAAAGATAGGTTAGGTTAGGTTAGGTAGGGTTGGTTAGGTTCGGTCATATATCTACGTTAATTTTAACTCCAATAAAAAAAATTGACCTCATACATAATGAAATGGGTAGCTTTATCATTTCATAAGAAAAAAATTAGAGAAAATATATTATTTCAGGAAAACTTGGCTTATTAGGCAAATTGGGTCATGCATAGTAGGCCAAAAAGTGCGTTCTGGCTACTAGGTACGACATATATATATATATATATATATATATATATATATATATATTATATATATATATATATATATATATATATATATATATATATATATAACCTAAAAGGGGTACCACCTCTGGTGCAAGTGTAGGGACCCATAGCCTCGGAGAAGAAAATAAAGAGTACCCAGAGAAGACCTTGTGGATCCTCACTGAACACTTTGATATTTTCTTCTCCTACCACCATTATTCTTTTAGTATGTGTATACATTTTGTAACCGGAGCCCAACTAGTTGTGTAGCCGAAGCTCGACCAGTTGTGTAACCAGACCCTGACCAGTTGTGCAACCGTAAGCCTAGCAAGGTTACATCTCATCCAACCCCCACAAAGCTAAACAGTCCCAGAGCACAACCAAACTCCATTCCTAGCTCGACCAAACAAAAAAATCATTAGTCCTACCTAAAACCCTCCACTTGCCCTAAACACCAACTATTGACCCATAGCAAACAATTGAACTATATACCAAAAAAGAAACACGGATTTCTAGCAAACATATGAACATAGAGCCTTAGCAAACAAACCTGGAGCACTAGTACACAAACAACCGCTGAAGCACAACCATGCACGAACCGAAGCCTGACCATGCACAACCCAAAGCCGAAGTAACACCCTCGGAGCCCGACCAGTTAATTAACCGGAGCCCGACCAGTTATTTAACCGGAGCCCGACCAGTTATTTAACCGGAGCCCGACCAGTTGTGTAACCGAAGCTTGACCAGTTGTGTAACCAGACCCCGACCAGTTGTGCAACCGTAAGCCTAGCAAGTATACATCTCATTCAACCCCCACCAAGCTAAAGACTCCCAAAGCACAACCAAACTCCATTCCTAGGTCGACCAAACAAAAATCTTCTTAGCGCTACCTAAAACCCTCCACTTGCCCTAGACACCAACTATGGAGCCATATCAAACAATTGAACTTTATACAAAAAAAGAAACTCGAATTTCTAGCAAACATGTAAACATAGAGCCCTTGCAAACAAACCTGGAGCACTAGTACACAAACAACCACTGGAGCACAACCATGTACGAACCGGATCACAACCATGTACAACCCAGAGCCCAACAAGTCACACCCCTGGTGTTATGTAATCGGAACCCGACAAGTTGTGAAATCGGAGCCTGACCAGTTGTCTAACCGCAAGCCTAGCATGAACGAACCAAACAACCTTTGGATCACAACCATGCACAAACGGAAGCCCGACCATGCACAACCCAAAGCTGGAGTGACACCCCCGGAGCCCGACCAGTTATTTAACCAGAGCCCGACCAGTTGTGTAACCTGAGTCCCACCAGTTGTGTAACCGGACCCCGACCAGCCTAGCATGTGTAACCGCAAGCCTAGACTATGAAACCCGAACCAAACAACCTCTGAATCGCAACCATGCATGAACCAAAGCCCGACCATGTACAACCCGAAGCCCAAGTGTGAGGACCCGACCAGTTGTGGGAGCCCGACCAGTTGTGTAACCGGAGTCCGACCAGTTGTGTAACCGGACCCCGACCAGTTGTGTAACCGTAAGCCTAGCAAGTATACATCTCATCCAACCCCCACAAAGCTAAACAGTCCCAGAGCACAACCAAACTCCATTCCTAGCTCGACCAAACCCTCCACTAGCCCTAGAAACCAACTCTCCATAGCTTAGCCCCCGAAACGCTTTGCGTAATAGTGGCTAGGCATTGTATGTACCCTCCACTTGCCCTAGACAATCCAACTATTGAGCCATAGCAAACAAAATGTACTATATACGAAAAAAGAAACCCGGATTTCTAGCAAACATATAAACATAGAGCCTTAGCAAACAAACCTGGAGCACTAGTACACAAACAACCGCTGAAGCACAACCATGCACGAACCGAAGCCCGACCATGCACAACCCAAAGCCCAAGTGACACCCCCGGAGCCCGACCAGTTAAGTAACCGGAGCCCGACCAGTTGTGTAACCGGAGCCCGACCAGTTATTTAACCGGAGCCCGACCAGTTGTGTAACCGAAGCCCGACCAGTTGTGTAACCGGACCCCGACCAGTTGTGTAACCGCAAGCCTAGCATGACCGAACCAAACAACCTCTGGATCACAACCATGCACAAACGGAAGCCCGACAATGCACAAACGGAAGCCCGACCATGCACAACCCAAAGCCCAAGTGACACCCCCGGAGCCCGACCAGTTATTTAACCGGAGCCCGACCAGTTGTGTAACCTGAGTCCCACCAGTTGTGTAACCGGACCCCGACCAGGTGTGTAACCGCAAGCCTAGTATGAACGAACCAAACAACCTCTGAATCACAACCATGCATGAACCAAAGTCTGACCATGTACAACCCGAAGCCCAAGTGTGAGACCCCTGGAGCCCGACCAGTTATGTAACCGGAGCCCGACCAGTTGTGTAACCGGACTCCGACCAGTTGTGTAACCGTAAGCCTAGCAAGTATACATCTCATCCAACCCCCACAAAGCTAAACAGTCCCACAGCACAACCAAACTCCATTCCTAGCTCGACCAAACAAAAATCTCCTTAGCCCTACCTAAAACCCTCCACTAGCCCTAGAAACCAACTCTTGAGCCATAGCAAACAATTGAACTATATACGAAAAAAGAAACACGGATTTCTAGCAAACATATAAACATAGAGCCTTAGCAAACAAACCTGGAGCACTAGTACACAAACAACCGCTGAAGCACAACCATGCACGAACCGAAGCCCGACCATGCACAACCCAAAGCCCAAGTGACACCCCCGGAGCCCGACCAGTTAAGTAACCGGAGCCCGACCAGTTGTGTAACCGGAGCCCGACCAGTTATTTAACCGGAGCCCGACCAGTTGTGTAACCGAAGCTCTACCAGTTGTGTAACCGGACCCCGACCAGTTGTGTAACCGCAAGCCTAGCATGACCGAACCAAACAACCTCTGGATCACAACCATGCACAAACGAAAGCCCGACCATGCACAACCCAAAGCCCAAGTGACACCCCCGGAGCCCGACCAGTTGTGTAACCGGACCCCGACCAGTTGTGTAACCGCAAGCCTAGCATGACCGAACCAAACAATCTCTGGATCACAACCATGCATGAACCGAAGCCCGACCATGCACAACCCAAAGCCCCAAGTGACACCCCCGGAGCCCGACCAGTTAATTAACCGGAGCCCGACCAGTTATTTAACCGGAGCCCGACCAGTTATTAACCAGAGCCCGACCAGTTGTGTAACTGAAGCTCGACCAGTTGTGTAACCGGACCCCGACCAGTTGTGTAACCGCAAGCCTAGCATGACTGAACCAAACAACCTCTGGATCACAACCATGCACAAACGGAAGCCCGACCATGCACAACCCAAAGCCCAAGTGACACCCCCGGAGCCCGACCAGTTATTTAACCGGAGCCCGACCAGTTGTGTAACCTGAGTCCCACCAGTTGTGTAACCGGACCCCGACCAGGTGTGTAACCGCAAGCCTAGTATGAACGAACCAAACAACCTCTGAATCACAACCATGCATGAACCAAAGTCTGACCATGTACAACCCGAAGCCCAAGTGTGAGACCCCTGGAGCCCGACCAGTTATGTAACCGGAGCCCGACCAGTTGTGTAACCGTAAGCCTAGCAAGTATACATCTCATCCAACCCCCACAAAGCTAAACAGTCCCACAGCACAACCAAACTCCATTCCTAGCTCGACCAAACAAAAATCTCCTTAGCCCTACCTAAAACCCTCCACTAGCCCTAGAAACCAACTCTTGAGCCATAGCAAACAATTGAACTATATACGAAAAAAGAAACACGGATTTCTAGCAAACTTATAAACATAGAGCCTTAGCAAACAAACCTGGAGCACTAGTACACAAACAACCGCTGAAGCACAACCATGCACGAATCGAAGCCCGACCATGCACAACCCAAAGCTGGAGTGACACCCCCGGAGCCCGACCAGTTAAGTAACCGGAGCCCGACCAGTTGTGTAACCGGAGCCCGACCAGTTATTTAACCGGAGCCCGACCAGTTGTGTAACCGAAGCTCGACCAGTTGTGTAACCGGACCCCGACCAGTTGTGTAACCGCAAGCCTAGCATGACCGAACCAAACAACCTCTGGATCACAACCATGCACAAACGAAAGCCCGACCATGCACAACCCAAAGCCCAAGTGACACCCCCGGAGCCCGACCAGTTGTGTAACCGGACCCCGACCAGTTGTGTAACCGCAAGCCTAGCATGACCGAACCAAACAATCTCTGGATCACAACCATGCACGAACCGAAGCCCGACCATGCACAACCCAAAGCCCCAAGTGACACCCCCGGAGCCCGACCAGTTAATTAACCGGAGCCCGACCAGTTATTTAACCGGAGCCCGACCAGTTATTAACCGGAGCCCGACCAGTTGTGTAACCTGAGTCCCACCAGTTGTGTAACCGGAC